CTGAGATTAAGAATTCCTCCTATCAGTGAGGTCATGTGATACATGTCTTTCTCTGACTGACTTATTTCACTCAGCATAACACCCTCCAGTTCCATCCACGTCGTTGCAAATGGCAAGATCTCGTTCCTTTTGATGGCTGCATAATATTCCATTGTGTATATATACCACTTCTTCTTTATCCATTCATCTTTGACAGGTAAAATTTATCCTCACAGGTTTTCTGGAAGGTACCACAGACACTGTTTATGTAATAAATAATCCAGAAAATAAGAATTTTTTAGCCAGATGCCTAAAGGTTTTTCCTGTTGTGTTACTGGATAAGCTGTATTTAAGGATGGGTGAAAGAGATTGACCTTGTGTCTTGTGTTATGAAGATGACATGCCCTCCAGGAACTCTAGCTTCTGGCAGTGCCCCCCATAGTGATTTGAGCAGTGGATGTGTAATTACGTGGAGCAGCCTCATGAGAGAGTCACCATCTGTCCTGTCCAAATTGTTCTTTGCTTCCTCTCAATAAATGAATTAAACTTTTGGGAAGGAAAGCATGAGGGGGAGAGTGTAGTTTTAGAATTTTCCTTAATTCCTAACAGAAATGGAGGAAGCCGGGCAGTGAAAGAAAAAACAGAGAAATACAGCTACCTGACAGAGGTATTGTTATCTGCTGGGGTCAAACCACCAGCAGCGGCGAGACTCAGGATACAGCAGCTGTGCAGGAGGAAACAGAGGGGAGAAGAGGGGGGCCCGCTGATCATTTTTTTTTTAAAGATTTTATTTATTAGAGAGAGAGAGAGAGAGAAACAGCACGAGAGGGGAGAGGGTCAGAGGGAGAAGCAGGCTCCCCGCCGAGCCGGGAGCCCGATGCGGGACTCGATCCCAGGACCCCAGGATCGTGACCTGAGCCGAAGGCAGTTGCTTAACCAACTGAGCCACCCAGGCGCCCCTGCTGATCATTTTGACTGCTAGGGAACTTCCCCCCAAGTATTCACATGCAAAAGGAGGGGTCCCCACTTGGAGTAAAGAACTTTGTAGGCATATCGGATAACAACAGTTAAAGCTAGGAGGCACTTTACAGGCTCCAATCTGTGGGTGACAACGAGGACATTGGAGGAGGTGCAAGGCTGCCGAGGTGGCCCGAGCCCTCAGGGCTCTCAAAAAATACCTGGTGAAAATCTTTCTGGAAGGACAGAGCCACTCCCTAAAAATAAACTGCCAAGGACCACAGACCCTGCAGTGACAGGGCATTAAAGGAGAAAGAAAGCTCGGATACCAATGGAGGAGGAGACCAGAGGAAGTAGATTTCATGAGTTATTGAGGGGGTGGCTACACTCAGAGGCCACATTTTCAGTACTTCAATGTAAAACCAGCAGAGAGAGCCCTAGAGCCATGAAACGAGGAAAGCTAGTCTGGGTCGTCCCCTCCCCACCTCACTTAAAATGAGCAGCTGAAGTAGATTGAGATCGGACTTCATGCAAGCATATTGTAAGAAAAAATGAGGATAGCCCCTCTGAATAATAAAGTTGCATATAATTAAGTAATATCAGCAAAATAGGGTACAAAGCAGAATATTACTAATATTCCAATAGAAGCTAAAGGAAATTCAGGGGGTGCCTGGGTGGCTCGGTTGGTTGAGCATCGGACTCTTGGTTTCCGCTTGGGTTGTGATCTCAGGGTTGTGGGATGGAGTCCCGTATTGGGCTCTGCATTCAGCGCAGAGTCTGCTTGTCCCTCTCCCTCTGCTCTCCCCACCGCCCCCCCCAACACCCCTGGCTCACTCGCTTGTGCGCTCTCTCTCAAATAAATAAAATCTTTTTTAAAAATCTCAGAAGATGATAGAAGTTAGGAAAGAACTGTCTACATCAGGATTGGAAAATTTAGAACTGAGAGGAGTAAACGATAGGCATTGTGGAAAGAGCTGACAGAAAGGAACAGACAAGGAACCCAGGCAGTAGACAAGATGTTTAGAAAAAAAAAAAAATCTCAAAAACTAAATTTAAAAATGGACAAAACCAGGCAGTAGTGTCAGGGAGTATACATTAGGTGATCAAGCTGTAAGGAAATGCAGGAAAACGATTACTATAAAATGAGGCTGGTTGTTACGTTTGAGTGAAGGAAGGGCCTTGAAATTAGGACGTAACCTAGAGGTGGTCTTCCAGGGGGGCTGGCAAAATTCCATTGCCTGAACTGGGTGATGGCTACAGGAGGGGTTGGCTTGTAATGACTCACAAAGGTAAATATTTGTTTGGTTTTGTTTTCTAATTGTGTCCGTTAGTAATGCCTTTGGTTGCCAGTAGCTGTCCATCTTAGCTAATGGCCCTCGGCTGGTGCCATGGCTCCCTCTACAATCAGGTGTCCCGGCACTCCGTCTTTCCAGGGCACTGCCCTTGTGTTTCAGATACACATTTGCTGCCTGGTGGAGGCAAGATGACGGATACATCCAGCCTCCCCCGTCTCCTCCAGGCAGGAGGAGGTGACACGCACTGCAGGGGAAGTTGGGGAGGCGAGTTTTTAGTTGTTCAGGTCCTTATGGTAGAAACGAACAAAGCAGAAGGGAGCTGGATGTGAGTGTGGAGAGGAGCCTGCCTGCATGCATATATCTAAAACAGAGGTTCTTCACTGGGGGGTGATTTTGCCCCTCAGAAGACATTTGGCAATGTCTGGAGACATTTTTGGTTGTCCCAATTGGCAGGGAGTGTGCAGTGCTACTGGTATCTAGTGGGTAGAGGCCAAGAATTCTGCTTAACATCGTGCAATGCACAGGACAGCCGCCCACAAAAGAATCATCTGGCCCGAAATGTCAGTAGTACTGAAGTTGAGAAACTCCAAAATGCTTTCAGGGAGACCATAAGGTCCAAACTAATTGAATGATTTAATAATAATAGTAATACATTACTTGTCTTTTTAAAAAAATATTTCTTTATTTATTTTTGAGAGACCGAGAGAGTGAGCGAGGTAGGGAAAGGGGCAGAGGGAGAGAACATCCAAGCGGACTCCTGCTGAGCGCAGAGCCCGACGTGGAGCTCAAGCTCATGACCCATGAGATCAGGACTTAAGCCAGAATCAAGAGTCACACGCTCAACTGACTGAGCCGTGCAGGCGCCCCCATTATTTGTCTTTTTTACTTTCATTTTTTCACGAGTGTGCACTGGAGTAGAGTTTTCCAGAGGCTGCATAACATGTGATATTGACTATCTGTTGGTCGAATGCAGAAAGAGATAAGAGAACCATCTGTCTTCCATTAATCGAGATAGTAAAGAGATTTGAAAAACTGTAAAACAAATGGCTCTCTTCTCACTTTTTTTTTGTTTTGGAAAATATAATTATTTTTCATTAAAAATGTGTACGTTAAGGGGCACCTGGGTGGCTCAGTTGGTTAAGCATCTGCCTTCGGCTCAGGTCATGATCTCTGGGGTTCTGGGATTGAGCCCCACATCGGGCTCCCTGCTCAGTGGGGAGTCTGCTTCTCCCTCTGTCCCTCCCCCTACTCATGCTCACTCGCACACGCTCTCTCTTTCTCTCAAATAAATAAAATCTTTTAAAAAATAAGTACATTAACATTTGATGGGGTTTATTCCTAATTCTAAATGCATAAATATTTAATTTTTTGTTTTATTTAATACAGTAAATATCAATAGCTATTGCCCACAAAAACTACAGCTCTTTAGGGGCCTCAGTGGTTTTTAAGAGTATAAAGGAGTCCTGAGACCAAAAGTTTGAGAGCTGCTCATCTGGAGAACATCCGATTTTTCAATGTCTAAGAAATGGGAAGACTATGGGAAGTGGAATTATGTCTGGTCTGTCCTAAAAGAAGACTTTCATCATTTCACAGACCTTTGTTAAAGCCTTCTTGGTGCCCTGACCCCGTGCTGGGTCCTGAGAACACAGGGGTCAGTGGGAAAAGGGTTTCTGCCTTCAAAGAGATTTCAGTCTATCAGTGGGGCCAAATCACATTCAGTGTGATTATTTTTGAAGGTTCTGTAACAGAGGTCTTTTCCCAGTGTGATGGCAATGCATTGGAGAGTGCAGGGTTGCCCTGTGGTGTTCTTAGAACCAAGCCTTCTATAAGACCTCACTCAGATCAGGAAGATTTGTCACTTTTGTTTCGTTTGTCTCCCAAACCACCCTGTCCCGCCGGAGGTAGGAATTGCCTCTATACATTTGTCACCAGTGGCTTAAGCTGAAACTAATTGATATGCTTCCTGCCCGTTTTTAGTGACTGTACTGGCAATATTTAACGAATTGCACGCAGACGTGGATCTTTACGCACTTCTGTTTGGGGAAAGCGTCCTAAATGATGCCGTTGCCATTGTCCTGTCCTCGTAAGTAACAACAGTATTTCTGCCCGGGGAAGAGAGCCTCTGGCTTCCGGCGTGCTCTGGGCTCAATTCAGAGGCTTCTCTCAAAAGTGTTAAAGATTGAACTGGGTGTTTTTCTAAATGAGGTTCATCAGTTCTGTCGATAAAGTTATGTTGCTTTGTCCACTTGGCCGCGATCTGAATGCTGATGGCGGCAGGTTGAAGGCCTACAGCACGGGGAGTGCTAGGCAGAGTGTAGATACCTCCGTTTGCTGATCTTTTTAGGTACCACGGTGTAAGGGCAGCGTGCTCTGTTTTAACTCTCTCTTCCTTTTAAACCCCAGGTCTATTGTTGCCTACCAGCCAGCGGGGCTGAACACTCATGCCTTTGATGCTGCTGCCTTTTTTAAGTCAGTGGGCATTTTTCTAGGTATATTTAGTGGCTCTTTCACCATGGGAGCTGTGACGGGCGTTGTGACTGCTTTAATATCCTTTTTGTGGTTTCTGCCCCCGCCTGGGTAGGATTGTGTGCTCGTACACTTGCAAGAACGAGGTCTCGGTTCTTCCTCTCAGAAATGACTTTTTTTTTCCAGAAATGAATCTTAAGTTGATGTTTCCACTGGGGTCGGGGGTGGGGGAGACTCCTGAAATGTGTCCCTTTGGTGAAACATGACAGTCGAGTACGTAGCTAAGAGTCTGAGAAAATGGGAGTGTGACTCTAGCATTCTCTCCCTCCGGTGAACCAGCTCGGGGAGGACATTGGTTTTAGAAGCGGGGGGAAGAGCCAGGAGGAGGCTGGGGAGCAGGGGCCGCTGCACGGGAGGCTAGGAGGGGGCAGGCTGGGAAGTACTTGAGCCTCACCTGCCCTTGGCTGTTGTGGGCCACGCGGGCTAACGCGGCCGTAACTACCTGGGGCCATCAGTGGGAATTACCGCGAGGTGGCCTTCCTTAAGTGAAGGATTGTATCCCACTTAGTTAAAAATCCAGCCAACCAACATTAAAGCAAAGTGTAGGACAGGCAGGCCACCCCTCGACAGGTGTGCGGAGTCCTTCGTCACATGTTCTTTCAGTGGCATTTAGATCCCCGCCATCACAGAAGCCACAGATGCCAGCCACGTCATCTCAGCCTGCAATCAGTATACAAATTATCATGGAGATTTTATACCCACAATGTCTATAATAAGTCTTTGCAGTGTAGCACGTATTTTGCTCTTCCAGCATCTCTCAATTCGGACTAGCCCCATTTCGAGTGCTCAGGAGCCACACGTGGCTAGCGACTACCATATTGGACAGCACGGACCCAGTTGCTTTCTCCACAGAGGCCCCTGTGATGCGCTGGGGGCTTGCACTGCTCGGTGAAAGCACAAGTGAGATGGTTCCATGCTGGCCCACTGTGGAAGGGCAGTGTTACAAGGGGACTCTCTGGTCCCCGAAAGTGGCACCAGCCCCTGGAGTTGTGCATTTTATTTCTTCATTTCTCATGCGTTCATTAGGCGCCTGCTGTTGGACTCAGGTCATAGCGGCCCACAGAGGTCAGAGTCTCACTGGCCTAGCCTCCCTCCCCAGGCCTGCCTGAGGCACCCCCTGCACTGCAAGAACTGACCTGCCAGTCACCCCTCAGGCCAAGACCGAGCCCCTCAGAGCCAGGGGCATTGCAAGGAGCACAGAAAACCTATTTCCAGTTGCTTTAGAAAGTTCCATTTTTTTAAAGACAGCTTTATTGAGGTAAAATTGACATACCGTACAATTCACTCATTTGAAGTGTACAATTAAATGGCTTTGGGTATGTCACATTATTATTTTTTTAAATTGTGGTAAAATACATATAACGCAGTTTGCCATGTTAAGCATTTTAAGTGTACAATTGAGTGGCGTTAAGTACATCCACATTGTGTAACCGTCCCCCCTGTTTCCAGATCTTTCTCATCATCCCAAACAGAAACAATATCACCCTTTCTCTCCTCTCTCCCAGCCCTTGGAAACCTCGTTTCTACTCGAAAAAACTTAGTTTCTGTTACTTTAAAAACCAAGCAGCAGCTTTGGGGCCCCCAGAAGAAGAGTTGAAGGGAAAGGATCACCCTTAGAGAACGGGGGGATCCTGGGCTCACCACGTGTGGTTCTTGGTAGCCCCGATAACTTGTTCCCGGAGCCAAGTTCCTTGACAGGGGCCCACGTGACCAAGTTTACCAAGCTGCACTGCTTCCCTCTACTGGAGACGGCACTCTTCTTCTTGATGTCCTGGAGCACCTTCCTTTTGGCGGAAGCCTGTGGGTTCACAGGTGGGTTTTCCCTACCCTTGGGCTACCCTTTCCCTCCCTGCAGCCCAGGGCTGTGCGAGCTGGAGGGGAGCTCGTGGAACAGCCGCATGGAGTTGATACACCGCTCATAGAGCGTCCATGTGGAGGATTGCTGGGCAAGGCTGGTGTTCCACCTTAGGAATAATTTTGTTTCCCAGAGCTACACGTTTTTAAAGGATGAAATTTCTTGTTTCAAGCTCAGTTGTCTGTGAGTACTCATTCCAACTGTAGGCAGATGTTTAGCTGCAAAGGTTACCGAATTTATTAACCTCCTCATTGTATCATCCCCCAGATTGCTGCTTCTCTCACAAACAGTAACAAACAACAGACAAAATCTGTATCCTTGTAAGGGTAGCTCTCTATCAACTCAGATGAATGTGAACGCGGTTTGTCCTTGTTTTGGCTCTGGTCTATTTAATCATTGTTTTTCAATACTATGTTTTTATGATGCCAATTTCATGTATTATTAGTGTGAGTAACCTTGTGGTTTTAGTACTTCACGTTCTCTCATCAAAAAAAAAAAAAAATCACTGAATTTTTCCACTAGAAAACTCAAGTACAATTGCTATACATAATCCAGGTAGTTGGGAAGCCCTTTTATCCTCTTTTCAAAATACTGCAATATATCTTTATATGCAGCATTATAAAATACCCCACTTCTTTAAAACTTGGCAATTACCTGTAATGTATAGGCACGGTCCAGGTGCGTAACCAGGGTAACCAAGGCTTGGATAAACGGCACAGTACTCTGGATCCGTTCTGTCTGAAGCCCTGGACCGTGCAAAAATAGAAAGCATTTGCTTGCAATTAAATTCTTTGCTTCTAAGAACAGAGAACAGAGAGGAATATGACAAAAGGATATGATGGGCCCTCATGGCCTTTTTTTTTTTTTAAGATTCATTTATTTAAGAGAGAGAGTGGGGGGGTAGGGGCATAGGGAGAGAGAGAGAGACTCTCAAGCAGACTCCCCGCTGAGCGTGGGGCCCGACGCAGGGCTCGATCCCACGACCCCAAGATCATGACCTGCACCGAAATCAAGAGCCAGACGCTCAACCGACTCAGCCACGCAGGTGCCCCACAGCCTCTTTGAAAAAGTGAATGCTAACTGCCAAAAATCAGTGGGAGTTTAGAGGAGAGGAGAGAATGCCCTTAAAACTGGAGCAGGAAGGGAAGTCGGGGACCTTGGCTTTGAAGGAAGGCAGTCAGAAGAAGGAAAGGTTGATATGAGCTGTGGGGGCGAGGGAGCTGTCAGCAATAGGAAACTTTCCAAACTATTCAGGAAGTTGGATATGTTGGGCTTGCCTACCTTAAGTTTTTGTTTCAGCGGGGATTTTTTTCCAGCTTTTTTTTTTCCATTGATTTTTTTTTTCTTTCTTTTTTAAAAAATCTCTCACCAGGCGTTGTGGCTGTCCTGTTCTGCGGGATCACACAGGCTCATTACACCTACAACAATCTGTCGGTGGAATCAAGAAGTCGAACGAAGCAGGTGAGAGCGAGCTCTGGGTCCTCATGAGTTACCTGTGAATACAAGGGAGGAGACCCACAGGGTTTACTGCTTCCTTTCCCCGTCCTGTGCAGCTCTTTGAGGTGTTACACTTCCTGGCAGAGAACTTCATCTTCTCCTACATGGGCTTGGCGCTGTTTACCTTCCAGAAGCACGTTTTCAGCCCCGTGTTCATCATTGGAGCTTTTGTATCCTTTTCTGGTTCTACCGTTTTCTCTGGGGACAGGTGACCACTGCTGGGGAAGCTAAGAAGAATTCCGTTTTGGGTGGGTGACTGAGCCAGCGCTAGTTCGTGGTGGTGTTTTCATGATGAGAACAAGGTTTATGGGGTTCGTAAAGCTAAATGTATTTGATTTAAGGATGAGCCTGGATCCAAGGTTGTCCTCTCGGTGTGTTCTGTGTAAGATGGTTTTTCTGTTACACTGGTGCTTGGCAGGTGGTAGCTTGTTTTGTAGAGCACCCTTCTTTTTATTTATTTATTTTTTAAGATTTTATTCATTTATTTTAGAGAGAGGAGCACGCATGTGCATATGCATGCGGGGGTGGGGGGGGAGCAGAGGGAGAGGAACAAGCCGACTCTGCCCTGAGTGCGGAGCCCGACATGGACCCAATCCCGGGACCCTGAGACCATGGACTGAGTGGAAATTAAGAGTCAGATGCTCAACCGACTGAGCCACCCAGGTGCCCCGTAAAGCACCCTTCTTTTTAGCAGATCTACAAGTTGGCAACTGTGTCAGTCCCAGAATCATTTTTGTTTCATTGCTCTGTGAATTCCAATCCAGGAGGTTCCCAGTTCGGGAGGCCTGAAGGTTCTGTTACTCTTGTTCTGGACTGCACCCTGGGGTAGGCAGCCCTTCCTCATGCTTTCACTGGAGCACCCCTGCTGTGATAGATCACAGTGGAAAAGACTCCTTTTTTTTTTTCCAAAAAAAAAGAAAGAAAGAAAGAAAGAAAAGACAAAATGGAAAAATACTTGGTTCCCTGACTTAGTTCCATGGTGAGTGCAGTTTTTGGAAGAGAGACACAGTTTTAGGGATTGGCTTCTCTCAAGAAAGGAGGCATGTGAATGCCCAGCAGTGGATCGACAGCTCAGAGTTTTGCTCGCTTGGCCTCAGAGCCTATTGTTTTCATCGAAGTGAACTTCTCTGGGGCTTGGAATAGTAGCAGTCCAGCTCAGCGTGGATTTCAAAATACTGAGCCGGCGTCCCTTATTGCTGGGCATTTACTCTTGCCTTTTCTCAGGCCTCATGGGTAACCTAAAAAAAAAAAAAAAAAAAAGTGTTTTTCTCTTTTGGGATTTTCATTTATGGTGCAGGACTAGGGGACAGTCAGCAAGCAGCTCGATAGTGACTGTGGCCTGTTGCCATGTGGAGGCCTTCCAGTTAGAGTGTTCTGTGCTTCACCTGGGGCTCTTTTTGTTGGATTTGCACACTCACCAGACGAACAGCTAAAAATCTGGGGGATCAGCGTTCTCGTTCTCGATTCAGAAAGCCCTTGCATATCCTCTGGATTTGTATTCCTAGCACGGCATCCCAGGAGCCCTTGTTTACAGAGGAGGGCTTTGCTGGGCGGGCCACCCAGGCCCCCTGGGAATCCCGAAAGCCGCCTACCCACTTGACGACCTTTGCATGGCTTCTGGGATAGAATGTGCTTCCTAAGCAACTACCTGTTTCCTTCTGTTCAAAACAAAACAACACAACACAACACAACACGGAGCCGGGGCCGGAAGCCAGCTAAAAGCAGAGAAACAGTCAGTCCTGTACCCCGGGGAAGGCAGAAGACCAGAGCAGCGGGCCGCTCTCTGCTGGGTTCTGGTCCAGACTCCACAAGTGACGTTTCCCTGATTTCGGTGCCTTCCACACGCCCCCGTTTCCATGCCTCGCCCCTCCGGAAGGCATTTGAGCCTCTTAGGTAGAAAAGTCTCTCCCTCCCATTGAGTGTTGTGACGGGTAGGAATGCTGCTTCAGTGGGCTGCCCAAAGCTGCTCACTTGTAGCGTCTTCCTGGTCATGTTGGGCCCCTCCTTGTTGGCCTCCAACTAAAGCTTGTGAGCTCGTACCCAGGAAACTTGCTCTTCACTGTTTGACTTGGAGGTTAGGCGTTGCTTCTTCTTGTGACTTCCCTTCTCACGGGACCCGAGTCATTATTTGCTCCTCTCAGCGCACCCCCCAACCCCTGCCATGGTGCCTGAGCTTATTTCTGGACTCATTTTTAGAGAGATGGCAGACTTGGTCCACACCAGCATAATTAAATCAAGAAGTTATAACAGGGGCACCTGGGTGTCTCAGTTGGTTAAGCGTCTGCCTTTGGCTCAGGTCATGATCCCGGGGTCCTGGGATCGAGCCCCGTGTTGGGCTCCCTGCTCAGTGGGGAGCCTGCTTCTCCCTCTCCCCCTGCCACTCCCCCTGCCTGTGCTCTTCCTCTCGCGCGCTCTCTCTCAAATAAATAAATAAAATCTTTAAAAAAAGAAGTTATAGCAGCACACGTTTAACAGGTTAGAAATTACCTCTGGTGGGAGCCAGGAGGTTGGGAAAGTTGTCTAGTTGAGTCCCCACTTGTTGCTAAGATGCGTTTCGAGGGAACCTGGACAGCCTGGCTGCCTTGTGCAACCCTCCTGATCTTTGTGCAGGTTATCTCCTGGTCGTGAGGTGTCAGAGCATCCCTAAAATTCTCTGCTCCACCAGAGGCCATGGGAAGGTGCCATTCTGGAAGCCTGTTGGGTCCTTAACCTCTCTGCCTGGTGGTCAGGTCGCCATCTTCCTGGGCAGAGCTGCACACATCTACCCGCTCTCCTTCTTCCTCAACTTGGGCAGAAGGCATAAGATTGGCTGGAACTTTCAACACATGATGATGTTTTCAGGTAAAAAAAACAAAAAACCATACATGTAAAGAAAATGAGCTTTATTCGGCAGGAATGTTAGCATGATTAAGATATCATCAATAAGTTTCATAAAGGGACAGAAGTTCAAGTTCCTGGTTCTTTTGTATCCCCTGCAATGCTGAGTAGACAGGATGTACATGTTAGAGTTAATATTGATTTTATAGACTAAACTACCAAATGTGAACATTCTCCCTTAAAATATCCACATCTTCATTTTTATCTTTACCACCTGTGGGACCTGGAGATATTTAAGTATTTAAAGTGCTTGATGATTCTCTGATAGATATTCATAACCCTTAATCTTCCAGAAGGACTCCAGACCTAAAATTAGAAGGGCAATAGGTCTTTAATAAGAAAGAACACAGGCCAGGTCACTCAGTGCCTCCCAGCTGCAGTATCCGCTCTTGTAAAATAATGAAATTGAGCTAATTGAGTTGAGGTTCCTCCTAGCTCCAACTTTCTCTGAAGCATTAAAAAAAAAAAAAAAAAAAAACCACTTGCATAAACAAGATGAGCCCCAAACCGGAAGTTAACGCTGTGATAGTTCTGCTTGATTTCATGCTGTCTCCCAGATGCCCCCCTCTCCACCATAAAGCTGAGAAGTGTGCAGAAGCCACTGAGGGGACAAAGGACAGTAAAATATGCGGCGGTAAAGGAAGGAGAGAGCAGTTGGCATGAGTTGATGGTGCAGTAAGCGTCAGGCATTATAGAGGAGACCCAAGTTAGAGGGTCTTTGCAGAGCAGAGGGAGGAGATGGTGGGGCAGAAGGCCGCAGTGATCCTTAAAGGTACGGCTGTCCTCTGGGGGGGGGAGGGGCTGCGCAAGAGGCAGAGTGAGTAGCAGCCCTTGACTGTGACATCGTAGTTCTCGAGGGCCCTCAGAGTCTTCCTGAACGCTCAGCAGCAGGCACTGCTCGGCGAAGTGGTTGCTCTGCGTAGTACTTGCTTACATCTGCACTGAAATAGGCAGCCTTTCCCTCTGGCAGATGTTGATGGAGCATCCTCTTTTTATAAGCCACAGTTCTGGATTCTGGAGGAGACAGAGACCGCCTCCTTGCAGGGCTCCCAATCCACTGTGGGGGAGGCAGGTGTGCAAAGAGCTAGCTTCCTCTGGAGAGAGGGTGACACGTTGCACATAAAAGGTGTGGAATCAAGGTGGAGAAGAGGAGGGCCTGGGGCCATCTTTACCAGGGGGGCAGCCTTCCACCTGGGCTTGCCAGACGTGGGTCTCACGAGGCAGCAGGTTGGAGAAGCAGGAGAGCATTGCCACGGGTAGCTTTTGCCAGGAAGGGCAGCAGCGTGGTTTCGCGGTAAGACATGGGCTAATGCAGAAAGAGGGTGAGGTTGGACGGGATAATGGCATCTAGGCTGCTGTGGGCCTTCAGGCGGCATCAGAACCACTTGTTGGGCTGGTTCGAGCCCTTTGCCGGGCCCCACCGCCAGAATGATTCTGCAGGTACGGGGTGGGCGCCAAGAATCGGCATTTCTCATGTATTCTCGGCTGCTGCTGCTGAGGGTGGTTTGAGGACCGCACTTTGAGAACCACTGTTGGAGTCTGGACCACAGAGAAGCCCCAGGGCTGTGCCAAAGCGTTTGGGCTTGCCTCAAGAGCAGCTGGGCCGCTTTAGAGGTTTCTGAGGAGGCCACGCCAAGATCCTCCTTCCATATCAAGAAAGTGTTGCTGGAAAAGAGCAAGACCAGGTGGAGATAGCTCAGTCACCTGGATAAACTTAAAGTATGTTCATTATTTCCTGTACTAAAAGACTGAGAAGTACACAGAGCTGTTTAAAGATATCTCCGTGTAAAACTTACTTCCTGCCGGGAGCAACCTCACCATCGAAAGGAACTCAGTTCTTCAGAGTGATGAAAAACCCAAGGCTTCTCTATCATATCGCTCACAGCATTTACCTGATAAAATAAAGACACATGGAGCACACAGTGTCTCTCTCCGACCCCCAAGTTTTCTTCTTTGAGACAGCATCCCTTTAGAGGCTTAAATATTGATCGTTGACAAAGCTGGCTGTTGGGTGGTCTAGATGTGCGTGTCTCCCTAACACAGAGTAATAGAAAACTTTGTATTTAGTAATAGAAAACTTTGTTAACTTTGTATTTTCATGTCACTTTTTGGAATCATTCTGTAGTGAATTGTGAAGTTCTCAGATTAGTGAATTTGCAAAATTATCAGGAAAGGTAGGAAACTATACAAACAGTTATAGTGGGTATAACTTTTCGTTCTCTCATACAGTATACACAGTCATTGTAGGTCCCCCCCCCCCCCCCCCCCCGGTGAACAGGAGCTCACACCAAGTATCTGTTAAGGACCATGGATTCAGTTTTTACTATAAAACAAATGATGAGCTTGCTTTGAAGAAGGAACAAAAGAGCTTAGAAAGGCAAACATTAAAATGTGGGTGCTTAATCTTTTTTTTTAAACAAACAACATTTTATTAAATATAAGTAAAATCTAATACAAGATGAAAATATGAGAACTCACATAAAAGAACAAATATTTGTGAATATATATTAAAAGTATTCACAATTGTTTCAATTCCTTTGTGTTGCACAATGTAGATCGAAACATATGCTCTTAAAAAAAAACATACACTCTTAAAATTAAAGGTGAGTAAGAATATACTTAACTGCATTAATTTCTATTTCGCAGGGTTTCTTTTCTTTTTTTTAGTATAGTTGACACACAATGTTACATTAGTTTCAGATGCACAACATAGCAATTCGACTTCTCTCTAGGTTGTGATGTACTCACTGTAAGTATTTGGTGCTTAATCTTAATACCCATTAATGTGGATGAAGGGTCAGCGAACTGTAGTCCCTGGGCCCTGTTATCATATACTTCACGGCTAACCATGGCTTTTACGGATGGGCATCTACAGTCTGTGTGATGATAGGGGACACTAACTTTGAAATCCAGTTAAGTGAAATCTCCTCCAGAAAGAATCTCATTGTTTTCATTAATGCACCTATATTACAACAAATTGTACTCGGTTATTATTACGCCACTCTTGGTTTTTGTCGATAAGATTTTGTGGAAATTTATTTTTTCTCTTATATGGCAGTATCCTTGATTTTTCACAGTATCCTTGATTTTTCCCCCCTTGCCCCATAAAGCCTAAGATATTTAATATCTGACCCTTTACAGAAAAAGTTGCCAACCCCTGATACAGATCAGGTTATACTGTTACTTCTCTGTGTGGCTTTGCTGCGGAAATGCTGAACTGTTCTGTAGCTCATGGCACAGAAACCACAAATATGCACTTGCCATATTTATACCTAGCCTGTTACTTTAGTTTATAATGACTGTATAGTGCTTGGATCACAGACCTAGAGAGCTTGTGTTGTTATTTCTTACTTACATTTCTTTTTACTTCGTGTTACTAGCAGGAGAACTATTGCCCTAATAAGAGTGTGCTATTGTCCTAGAATGTGCCATACAAGGTAGTGCAGTGTTTTTCTCATTACATTTGGGGTATTTTGCAAATGAAAACTTCCAACAGGAGAAAACCGTATTCCCGTAAGTTTCTTCTTTCCGAGTAAGACAGTGTGGCTCCCACAGCACATGCGGATCCAGTTTATTAGCCTCGAGTGGCGGCAGTGGATCCGAGGACACATTGTCATTTGGTCTTAGAACCAAATCTTCTTCTTCGGTCCCCACAGGCCTCAGGGGGGCCATGGCATTCGCGCTGGCCATCCGAGACACCGCGTCCTATGCTCGCCAGATGATGTTCACGACCACGCTCCTCATTGTCTTCTTCACCGTCTGGATCATTGGTGGAGGCACGACACCCATGCTGTCATGGCTTAACATAAGGTCGGTCTGAAACCGCAGCCAGTTTTGCGACTAACACGGGGCGGTGGTGGGGGGGGGAGGGGGAGACAGCTTAGTGCGTGCAAGGTTCTTACGGGGTTGGGTTTGGTTTGGGGGTGGGATTGAAAATAAAAAGCAATAAGTAACACTTCAGAATATTGACTTTTCCACGAGAAAAAAAAAGGTGGGCATGAAAATTTCTGTCGGTGCGAAAACACAAGGCCTTAGAAACACCTGGACTGTGCTAGAACAGTGACACTAGGGCAGGAATTCCAAAGTTTTAAGGCTGCAGGCAAGAGAATGGACGGTAACTGCCGGCAGTGCCTGGCGTTTCAAGTTCCTTTGCAATCACACCTCCAGCCTTCGAAACAGGCTCATCCACCAGAAGTGAAAAGAGACAATTAGAGTTTTGTTTCTGGGAGGAAACTGTTTGCTCTGTCTCTTCTTGCTCGAGCGTACAAAAGAGGTGACATTTCCTGCATCAGCCTCATTTGTTATAACCTCATTGATGTCCTCTGCCTGTGGTTTTGCAGCTGGGTCAGCACGGAGAGGGCTGACCTAAATTTGAATTTTTTTTTTTTTTTAAGAGCGTTTGAATCCCAGAGGGTGCTGGCGAGCTCCAGCACCTTAGGGTAAGGAGGACACTAGAACAGAGGACAGGAGTCCCAGAGCCTAACTCTGGCTCTGGTTCAAGGCAAGCCCTTCCTGCCTTTGGGTCTCAGTTTCCCCTAATATTAAGTGAAAGCCTGCTGTCAGATCTTCTGCAGTCCCCTTCAGCTCCCAGTGTATGTGCTCTGCCTTATTGGAGGCGCCCCCACCACCTCCCTCAGTGTGGGGGTCCGCGGAGGATGAACGTGATCAGAATGTGACAACGCTCCGGGCGTGTGTGGGTGTGAAGAAGAATTCTCCGAGAAGCCACAAGGTGGCACCGTGTCTTTTGTTTTTGTTTTGTTTTGTTTTTTTCCTTTCTCTTCTGGCTTTCAGTTCACATTCCCTTCCTCTGAAATATAGAATGCCCCAGACTGACAGCTACAGAGCATACCTAGCTTGGAGGAGAGAGAACCTACAAAGATCTCGTAGTCATCCTTCGAGTCGGGGGCGGAGGGTACTAGAATTTGGGAGAAAACTGGAATTGAAGAGAACAGTCTTCACCCCGCCCCGTCCCCCCGCCTCCCCAACCCCATCAAGGACTTTTGTCTTGATGACAGCAGGGATTCCTGGGCTTGGCCTCTGCCAGCCGCACCATTTCCGGGCTAGCTGATCTCAGCCTCACATCCTTGTGGGTCTGCAGAAGCTACTACGTGGGGCTGATAAGTGGCAGTCACTTGATAGCTAACACTTGTGTGATGCAGGCCTTGTACAAGATGCCACACCTATATTAAGACAATCTTCACAACATTCCTATGGAGAAGCCACTACTATCATCTTCATTGTAGAGTTGACAGAACCGAGGCACAGAGCAATAACTTGCCCAGGTCACAGAGCTTTAGGTGGATGAGCCGGGATTTGGGGCCTGGCAGTCTTGCCACCCAGTCCACAGTCTGAACTACTGTGCTCTACCACCTTTGAGAAGGTTGACGGTGTTAGCAACCGCCTCTGTGTGTCGTGAAATTCGGGATGATCAGAACTTCAAGTTCCTGGTGTGAATCTCAAGATTTGTGTTAAGGAAACGAATTCATCATGGGAATATGAACCTAGAGAAGAAAATGGACAGATTTTTGGCTCTAAACCTGACACATACAATGGTACCATCTTTGTTCTGTGTTAGAATAAGGGTAAAAAAAGGAGGCTTACCCTGAACACCGCTGAGGATCTTTAAGAATCTCGAGATCAGGGGCTCCTGGGTGGCTCCGTCCATTAAGCATCTGCCTTTGGCTCAGGTCAGGATCCCAGGGTCAGCGGGGAGCCTGCTTCTCCCTCTCCCTCTGCCCCTCCCCCGACCCCCTCCTCATCCTCACTCTCTCTCACACTCTTAAATAAATAAATAAAATCTTAAAAAAAAAAGAATCTCAAGATTGACTTCTGAGATTACTTTCTGCTCCTATTTGGTCACTCAGGAGGCACCCTAGATACTCAGAGCCTGATTAAATCATGTTTGTTTGTCATGCTAGTTTATGAGCCCTCCCACACACTACACACATATATAGGACCAAATAATTTCCCACTGAGAAGGGAGAGTTGACTTGTGACTTTTTGCACTTCTGGCAACCCTTTTCAAAATTGGGCCATTAAAACTGTCCTATCCAGAACTGAGAGTGTGGGTAGCTTTCCCTGAGGCACACAAACTGTATATACAAATATAACTATTGTTGTGGAAATATTGATGTAATGTATAGATAACACGTAGACCATAGCAGCTAGCGCACAGTGAGGGCTCAGGAAATGACGATGTGTGTGACTGGGTATAGGAGAGATCTCGTTTCTCCACATCCTTGCCAGCATTTGGCATTGCCACTATTTTTCATCGTAGTTGTTCCAATAGGTGTGTGGGGATACCTCACTGTGGTCTTACTTTGCATTTTTCTAATGACTAATGATGTCAAGCATCTCTTCATGCGCTTATTTGCCATTCATATATCTTCTCTGGTGAAACACCTGTTCAGACTTTTTGTCTATTTTCTAATCAGATCATTTTGGTTTTTTAAATTGAGTTTTGAGAGTTCTTTATTTATTATAGATACTAGTCTTTTGTCAGAGATGTGGTTTGCAAATATTTTCTCCCAGGCTGCAGCTTGTCTTTTTTTTTTTTTTTTAAGATTTTATTTATTTGGCAGAGAGAGAGACAGCAAGAGAGGGAACACAAGCAGGGGGAGTGGGAGAGGGAGAAGGAGGCCTCCCGCTGAGCAGGGAGCCCGATGCGGGGCTCGATCCCAGGACCCTGGGACCATGACCTGAGCTGAAGGCAGTCGCTTAACCAACTGAGCCACCCAGGCGCCCTGCAGCTTGTCTTTTAATCCTTTTAGTAGAGTCTGTCATAGAACAGAAGTTTCCATTTATCATTTTTTTCTTTTATGCATTGTGCCTTTGGTGTTATATCTAAGGACTCTCCATCAAGCCCTAGGTCCTGAAGATTTTCTTCTGTGTTATCTTCTAAATGTTTTTTAGTTTTCTGCTTGACATTTAAGTCTGTGGTCCATTTTGGGTTAATTTTTATATAAGATGCAAGGCTTAGGTAGAGGTTTTATCTTATTCCATTTGCCTAAGACCATCCAGTTGTTCTGGCAATGTGTTAAAAGCACTAGTCTTGGGGTGCCTGGGTGGCTCAGTCGGTTAAGCGTCTGCCTTTGGCTCAGGTCATGATCCCTGGGTCCTGGGATCGAGCCCCACATCGGGCTCCCTGCTCAGTGCGGAGCCTGGTTCTTCCTCTCCCTCTGCCGCTCCCCCTGCTTGTGCTCCATCTCTCTCTCAAATAAATAAATAAAATCTTAAAAAAAAAACAAACTGGTCTTACTCCATTGAATTACTTTTGCTCCTTTGCCAAAAATCAGTTGGCTGTATACACATGGGTCTGTTTCTGTTCTGCTCCACTGATGAATGCATCCAACCCTCCACCAGTACCACACTGTCCGGATAACTATAGTTATGTAATAAGCTTTAGCATCAGGTGGAGCAAGCCCTCCCACATTATTCTTTTTTCAAAATTCTCATCGCTATTCTAGTTCCTTTCCATATATATTTTAGAATAAGCTTGTCTAGCTCTAAAAAAAAAAATCTCGCTGAAATTTTCACAGGAATTGTGTTAAACCTATATATCAGTTTGGGGAGAATTGCCATCTTTATTATGTTGAGTCTTTCAGTTCATGAGCGTGGCATGTTTCTTTATTTAGATTGTCTTTGATTTTTTTCATCACTGCTGTATGGTTTTCAGCACACAGTGCCTGTACATGGTTTGTTAGATTTACATCGAAGTATTTCCTCTTTTTTGAGCAATTATAAATATTATTCTATCTTTAATTTCAGTCTCCACGTGTTCATTGCTAGGATACAGAAATACAATTGGTTTTCGTATTTTTTTTAGAGAGGGAGAAGGGGGAGGGGCAGAGGGAGGGGGGGGAGAGAGAGAATCTTAAACAGGCTCCATGCCCAGTATGGAGCCTGGTGCAGGGCTCAACCCCATGACCCTGAGATCATGACCTGAGCTGAACCCAAGAGTTGGATGCTTAACCAACTGGCCCATCCAGGCGCCCTAGTTTTTGTATGTTGATCTTGTATCCTGTGACCATGCCCAACTCATTTATTAGTTCTAGGAGGGTTTTGTTTTGTAACTTCTTGGGGATTTTCTACATAGACCATCACATCATTTGCAAACGGAGGCAGTTTTATTTCTTCCTTTCCAGCCAGTGTAGCTTTTATTTCCTTTTCTTGACTTACTGCTCTGGCTAAGGCTTTCAGTGTGATGTTAACAGTAACATGAGCAGACATCCTTGCCTTGTTTCCAGTCTTAAGGGGAAAGCATTCAGTCTTTCACCAATGAGTGTAATATTAGCCTTAGGGTTTTTGTAGATGCTCATCATCATCAAGTTGAGGGAGTTTTTAATCTATTGCTAGGTTTTTGAGAGTTTTTGTTTTTATCATAAACAGGTGTTGAACTTTATCAAATCCTTTTTCTATATCTATTGACATCATCACATTTTTCTTGTTTAGCCTGTTAATATGGTGGGTTACATTGATTGATTTTCTTTTTTTTTTTTTTAGAGAGAGTACATACATGAGCGGGGGTGGGAGGGGCAGAGGGAGAGAGAGAGAATCTCAAGCAGGCTCCACACCCAGCGTGGATCCCAATGCAAGACTCAGTCTCAAGACCCTGAGATCATGACCTGAGCTGAAATCAGGAGTCAGACACTTAACTGACTGAGCCGCCCAGGCACCTCCCCCTTTTTTAAATTAATTTTCAAATATCGAACCAGCCTTACTTCCCTAAAATAAACTCCACTTCATTATGGTGTATAAATTTTTTACATACTGATGAATTCTATTAGCTATTATTTTGTTAAAGATTTTTGTGGTCTGTGTTCATGAGGGATATTGGTTTACAGTTTTCTTTCTTTTTTTTTTTTTTTGTACTGCCTTTGTCTGTTTTTGGTATCAGAGTAATCTGGCCTCACAAAATGAGCTGGGATGTGTTCCCTACTCTTCCGTTTTCTGGAAGACATTGTATAGAATTGATGTTAACTCATCTTAAAAGTTTAATGGCATTCTCCAGTAAAACCATATGGTCCTGGAGACTTCTTTTTCAAGAGTTTTTAAATTGTAAAGGCAATTTCTTTAATAGTTGTAGGGCTGTTAAGATTATCTGTTTCATGGGGCACCTGGGTGGCTCAGTCGATTAAACATCCAGCTCATGATTTCAGCTCAGGTCATGGTCTCAGAGTCATGGGATCGAGCTCCTCATTGGGGTCCACACTCAGTGGGGAGTCTGCTTGAGATTCTCTCTCTCTCTCCCCCCCCAAACTCACGTGCTCTCTTTCTCTCTCAAATAAATAAATCTTTAAAAAAAAAGATTATCTGTTTCATGTTGGGTGAATTGTGGTAGTTTGTGAAATTGGTCCATTTCATCTAAGTTGTCACATTTATGTTGTTTGTAGCATTACCTTATTATTGTTTTGATGTCTGTGAGATGTATAGTGATGCTCCTTGTTTCATTCCTGATACTGGTAATTTGTATCTTCTTTCTTTTCTTCTTTCAGTCTTGCCAGAGATTTGTCAATTTTATTGATCTTTTCAAAGAACTAGCTTTTTATTTCACTGATTTTCTGTATTGTTTTTCTGTTCTCTATTTCATTGGTTTCTGCTCCTATCTTTATTCTTTCCTTCTTTCTGTCCAACTCCACCCAGACAGCATAATGAAGCAAATAGGTAAACAATACATATGGTGTTAGTGCGTTGCATTTTCCAAATATGTATAAATAGTGATTATGTAAGTGTAGAAACTGACATTTATAGAGATCACATGAAAAGAAATTTCCTCAGAAATAAAGTAATGAGATTCATTGGTTTTTCTGGTCTGTGGTTTCTGATGTTACTCCGTGACCATGAATCATTTATGTGAACCAGTTTCTCATTCTAAATTTCTTCAGAAACCCCCTGAAGTTCAGTGTGGTGTTTTGACCTCTACACCCTAAGTAAAATCAATACCTATCTGATCCTTACTTCTCCAGGCTACTGACAGAGGCCCTTATGAGGTGTTAAGTAGCTGCTCAGAAGTCAGAAACCCAGGGTAGGATTCCAAGTTCCACCATAAATAATGAGGAGTTAGTTGTGATTTTTAACCATGGCTAAGTCCTAGTCTGTGTATAAAATAAAAATGAATGTGACCTAAATCCAAAGCCAGGTCCCTGCTTTCCAGAAATCCAATGTATCTTTTTCAAATTGGCATGTTGTGATTGATATTTTAAAACACGATGGCAGGGGCGCCTGGGTGGCTCAGTTGGTTAAGCGACTGCCTTCGGCTCAGGTCATGATCCTGGAGTTCCGGGATCGAGTCCCGCATCGGGCTCCCTGCTCAGCAGGGAGTCTGCTTCTCCCTCTGACCCTCTTCCCTCTCGTGCTCTCTATCTCTCATTCTCTCTCTCTCAAATAAATAAATAAAATCTTTAAAAAAAAACGATGGCAAGACACTCAAATTGTTTTCTGTTAATGCACACACTACATATTTTTCTTAGTCCCTTGAGCAGGTGTTATTCACAAAGGATGTAATTTTGGCAATTTAAAAAAAATGGCCACAGGATTATTTCAGCAGAGGAACCTTGTGTGTGTCCAGAGCACATTTGGGCAGCATGGTGACCATTCTCTTTGGCGCCCCTGGCTTTAGGTGACACACACGTGAGGTGGTGGTGATGGTGGGGGCGGAATGGCATGTGCCCAGGCAGTCAGATGAACAGGCACCCTTCACACCCCACAGCACAGTCATGCAAACACTCCAGGACAAGGAAGGACACTCTGCTCAGTATAATCCTGTTAGAATTTACGACAAAGCTCTTTGCCAGATAATTTGAAGAAAAAATGCAGGAGCAGCCCTGAGCTCTTTATGTAATAGCATTTGTAACTGGATATTTTAAAAGAGTTTAAGGACACCAGCGTGTAATCAAAGGGTGAATCCTGGGACGCCTGGGTAGCTCAGTTGCTTGGGCGTCCAACTCTTGGTTTCGGCTTGGGTCGTGATTTCAAGGTCGAGGGATCAAGCCCCTTGTCGGGCTCTGCGCTCAGCATGAAGTCTGCTTGGGTTTCTCTCTCCTTCTCCCTCTGCCCCTCCCCCCTCCTCCCCCTCTCAAATAAATAAATAAATCTTTTAAAAAAGGCGGATACTGTGAGGTGAAGTACTGGGGCTCTGGGGTCTAAGAGCCTCAGCCACAGTCTTGGTTCCACCGTTTTCTACCTTTGTGACCTTGGGCAACTTATTTAGCCTCTTCAACTCCGTTTCCTCACCAGTTTAGATGGGGACGATAGTGTAAGAATAAAATAAATGTGATGATAAATGTGATAAAGCATTCTCTTGTTAAACGTACCATCTGAAAAAGAAAGAAAGGTCCCATCTGGCACATGGTAAGCATTTCGGATCTTTTAGCTGTTAATTACTACGTATATATCTATATCTATATCTATATATCTCATATATAATATTATCATTACTAATCATAGCATCAGTACTGCTAGTATTGCTATTATTATTATCAGTGAATCTTACGTTAATGGAGTCCAGCTTGCTTTTCTGGAATGTGTTACAATTTTTCAGTAGTATGGTAAAATACCGAGTCACATTCTGAGCATGTGACTTGTTGAAGTACCACCTTAAGAAGCATATCTCGTTCTCACTTGCATATTCCAGGGGATATCAGTAGCGTGAGCAGTTGGGCATTGTTTTCACCGTTGTCCCCCCACAAGGAGCCCTTCAAAAATGTTTCTCCCCCCATTACCTCTTCCAGCGAAATTTTAATACCACAGATCTGCTATATACTTGTTTATGTAGTATCACAGTTTAGAGGACTATAAACCATTGTACTATCTAAAACTTTTTGCCTCACAAGAACCAATCTTCACACCCATGGGGGCAATACCACCCCCAACTGAGAATACATGATCTAAGTGCAGTGGTTCTCAGTTGAGGGCAGTTTGCCTCCCCCCCCGCCCCCCAGAGGCCATTTGGCAATGTCTGGAGATATTTTGGGTTGCCTCAACTGGGTAGGGGGTTGCTACTGGTATCTTGTAGGTAGAGGCCAGGGCCCGAAATGTCAGTAGTGCCAAGATTGTGAAACCCTGCTCTTAGTTTGATGGCAAAGTTCAAATGCACCTTGAATACAACCCAGAAATTGTTAAGGCAGGTGAAAATGGACCGTGTCAACTCTAAGGTGCAAGAGAAAGAGAATAGCAGAAGTTGGCTTCCTGACCTTCAGGAACCCTTAGACAACATGGTTTACTTGTGTCAGAAAAAGGGGGAAAAAAAAAGGCCATCTTTGTCTTCTCAAGTATTGTTGCTGTTTTCAACAATATGATGCTTTTTGCTCTTTCTGTCAAATGTGTGTCAAAGTATGTGTAAACACTTCAGATACGTGTTTAGTAACAACTCTGCTTTCTATTTTTCGTATGGATGTACCTTGCTTTATGAAACAGGTGAATTCCTGAAAAACTTGTATAAATTCATTTCTGTGAGCTGCATGCATTCCTCTGATTTCCTTACATGATATTTTGAGAGGCTTACCTTCATTCCCAGTTGATCCTCACTTGGCCTCGCTCCTAACATGGTTGCTTTAAATTTAAATTTAGCAGCCTCTCTGCCTCTCTGGGTTTTCGAGAATGCGGACAGTTTGAGAGAGGGTACGGACCTCTCTTCAGAGGGAGCCCACCTCTCCCTTGATGGGCGTGGTCCAGGTCCTGTGCCCAGAGCTCCCGGCTCCCCCGTGCGCCCCGTCATACTCACGTTCCCTTCTTCTGCTGCCCAGAGTTGGCGTCGAGGAGCTGTCCGAAGAGGACCAGAACGAACACCGCTGGCGGTACATCAGGTGACACGAGGAAATCCTCAGAAACGAATTAACCGGGCCTGGCTTTTCTCCTCCTCCTAACCCGCCATGTTTCTCTTTATGCCGTTTGGTCTCTTCTTTCCTTCCTGTGTGCGCCAGCCCCCTGCCCCTTTCAGCCAAAGGGGCAAGAGGTCAGGTCAAGTCTAACCCCTTTCCCACCCCGTCTCTGGGTTGATTGCTGTGTCGGTGTTCCTGAGAGTCTGTTCTCTGTCCCCGCATATTGGACAGTGTGTGTCAACACCAAAGCCGGAGTTGCAAGTGTCTCCCCTCTTAGACAACTGAGCTTAGCATCCAGGGCAGTCCGTTTTCAGAGCCGCAGATACTTTTTCCACAAAGTCTTGTTTGTGATCTAGTAAACAAGGCTTTCCACTCATAAAGAGACTTAGGATTTGACTGGTCTGCCATGACTGGGGTAGGGCTCATACCATCTTAATTAAGCACCAGTGCTCTTTGAGTAGTTTTTAAAGTATGTAATTGTGTCCTGGTACCTTATGGTGAATCAGAAGATACAAAAACACTTTTGTTTAAAAACAAAACAAAACAAAACAGAAGATAAAGACTCTCGTAATGCAATTGGGTTCTCAGTGTCCACCGAAGTTTATGATTTGATTAGGCTTAAAGGGGGCCATGGGGGCCAGCAGAACAAAGACTTTAATGTTTCTTTTGCCCTTCTGCATCTTTATTGGCACGCATCCTTCCCGGCCTGATTCTCAGTGCTGGTAGATAAATCAGTGTCTGAGGGCAGTGGAGAGAAGAGCGAGGCTGCTCACTGGCCATGGGCACTGCGATATCACCAGGCTCCAGATGTCCCCTAACGATGTGTATCTGAGTAATGGAAGCTGTTAAGGTCCCTGGGTTCACACTTTTTTTTTTAAATTTTATTGTATTATGTTATGTCAATCATAAACTTTTTTTCTACTGTTTAAAAACACACACGCACACACGCACACACACATTCACTTTTTGGAGGCATGACTTTAGGTAGCAGGTAGGTGGCAGAGGAAACCCTTTCTTCTGAAATATCCCACCTTCAGGAAGGAAGGTCCTTTGGGCACTGTACAAGTTATTACAGTTGGGACCTGAGAGAACTCAGACTGTGATTTGGTGTTCAGGGTTTTACATGTAGGTGTGTGTCTCATAGTCTTCCCATTATTTAGGGCCTCAGCCATTCACATTTTTGAAAAATTATCAGTCGAAGTAGAACACTTCTAAAATTCCTGAGATGGCAGCTAATCAGAATGTACTTACACTCATACCAGAAGGGAAATTATTCATGTTCTTTCTCTATTTTTTCATTCCGGAATGAGCACGTTAGTTTGATTGCTTTATTTTCTCACTTGGTGTGAAACTGAATGAAATGTAAAGTATACCAGTAGTCATATTAGCCACATTTTTCACCTGCTCAGTGGCTGGCCACTTGTGGCTCGTGGCTAGCATGTTGGACAGCGCAGATCTAGAAAGTTCTACTGGACAGCGTGGGTCTAGAATCATTCCCAAGTTCCCCCAGGCAAAATGTTGAACATTACGAGTTTGAGATGAGGTTAGGGTGGCCCTACTTTTGTGAGTGTATCAAGTTATTTCACCATTTTGTGCTTTGCTGTTTTGAATTCTGGCCTGGCCACACGGACCCAGGATAAATAGATGAGTTCCTCCGACATTGCCAGAACTTGAATGAAAATAGTCACAACCTAGTCTTCCTAAGCAGTTCTGGTTGAACAAAATTTAATTCTTGTTAACCAAAGTTTTTTTTTTCCCTTTTAATAGAAATTAGTTAAAAGAATAGAGGGGGCTAAGTTTCATTTGGCAGCTTTTATCGTGTTTGGTTTTATTTTCATTATTGTAATACAGGGAATCCTTAACCTTTTCTCCTACCCCTAGTCTTCCTATTTCATCTAGGAGAGTAAAGTCAACTTGTTTTATCTTTGCTGGCATGGAAGCCACTTACGAAGGCTAATTACACCTATTTTAAAATTCACAGTATAGAAAGGAGAGATTATTAGTGGCAGACCCAGACTACTACCATATTCTTGGCCATACTGTGCCTCATGCCCTTCAGCTCACATAATCTCATTGCTCCTGCCCCACAATCTGGCCAGGCCTTGTGGCTAGGCTGAGGGCTGCTGTGTCACCTGGCATTCTGGTAGGCTGTCCGAGAAACACCGGGGTAACCGGCGCTCTGTGTCTGCGCTGGGAAGCTCATCTGAGTAAGTGAGTCTGCCATGAAGTGGCTTTGTGCTGCTATAGAACCCACAGAACAAGGCCTAAGATTGGATTCCTAGCTGTTGATCTTACAAATGCTGACCAAGCTACCCTATAGAGGACTTTTCTCTGGGGAACGTGGGTTAAGAGTCTCTAAAATGGGTGAGGGCTCAAAATTCCCAAGAGCTGGGAATTCCATACGTGACCTCTCCTCTTAACACTTTGATACATTAGACACACCGGATGCTTTGAGGCTCTGGTGGGACTTTTGGGGGGCAGCCCTGAGAGGCCCCTGAATTGGATGGGTTTCGTGTCAAGAAAATCTCTGTGAGATTTGTTGTTCAAAGATCCCTGAATAATGTCCAGTTATGAGGACAAGCCTCCAACCCTCAGAATCTCCAGCCTGGAAGCAGTCCCTAGACCCATAGCAAAGTCCATCGAACTCACTACAAAGATCCTACCAAACCCCAGGCCTGCAGGGAGGAAATCTGCTGTCAGGTACACTAGATTTTAACTAGAACAGTACCTGGCATCATAGGCACTCAATAAATATTTGCTGAATACATGAATTCGTCTTGTGGTTTTAAAACTTTGCCCTCAGCAACATACAGGCTATCTGTTTCCTTTCCCTCCATAGTCCCCCCTTTCCAGGGATGCACACCTTTGGTTAGTGCTTGACAAACCTGCAATAAGACAGGGTAGAGGTTGACTTTGGGAGGGCAGGCACATCTGTGTTGTCTTCTGTTTTCCTTTTCTATTAGTCTCTTTTTTCAAGAAATAACCTGGGCATCATAGGTGGGAAAGAGGGAGGGAGAGAAAGAAAAGTAAGGTGCACACACATGGGGTTTTGTAGTCCGCTGTCTACTCATTGGAGTCAGCACCCCGGTACCGGACGACCAAAGACCCCTGGTTGAGGCCATTCGGCACCTCCCGTCCCAGCTCGGGTCAGACCTGCCAGAAATCGGGTTCTGTTTATAGGTCTTGGCAACACTGGAGGGAGCGTGGGAAGACAAGAGAATTTTCCTGGCCTCTTTGATTTCTCCCCCACCCGCCTGTGATCGAGGTCACAGTTCTCCACCTCAGAGCGAGGAAGGTACAGGGATGAAGAATTAACAGGTGCACAAAACAACAGTTGGTGTGTGACTAAGCCAAGGCAACTACCCTAGTCAAAGCATGGGATTTGTTGTAAGTGGATTTTGCCACTTTGCCTTTTCTTTCTGTCTTCAGTTGTTGATCTTAAAAGTGTCACTTCTCAGGTCATCTCCGCTGTGGGAGGACGTGGGGGCACCAGGCCAAAACGTTAATGATATGCATGCTCAAGTATTTAGGGGACGAGTACTGGCGTTTGCAACTTTATTTGAATGCATCTAAAAAATTAGATGGGTGGTAGAGAAGTGGATAGACACGCGATAAAGAAACTCCAGCAAAATGTTAATGGTAGACTGTCGGTGGCGGGTATACAGGTGTTCACTATAAATTCTTCCAGCACCGCCGTGGATATATGAAAAATGGCGGAACGGAAGTTTAGGGAATTAAGAGCAGGTCAGGGCAGATGTGAGGAAGCAGCAGAAAGGAAAAGGCGTGGGGCGTCGAGACCCACGGTTGGATAACTGGGACCGTCTGGTGCAGGAAGGCAGAAGGACAGTCGCCAGCCAGCAGCCTCAAATAGGGTGTAAGCACCCCTTGCCTCTCCTGCCCCCTGGGATCTGACATGGAACATGACCTCTTTCTCACGACTTTTGCATGACAGCCTTCCTCTTCTTCTAGCTAACTACTCCTTCCGCTTCCGGAAGGCGGTCGGCCTCTTGGCTACTTTCAGCCAGCGTGGCTGCCGTGGTCCGAGCTAATACTCTCCATTTTTCTCCTTGTCTTTCTCCCTGGTGACTTACAGAGTTGGTGTCGATCCAGACCAGGACCCACCACCCAACAACGACAGCTTTCAAGTCTTACAAGGGGTAAGTCGCAAGAGATGCTTTTTCTGGGGGAAGACACTGTGATAAAGGGCTAAAATTTATTGAGCACTTAACTATAGGCCAGACATCTTTACGTGGATTCCCTCACCATGAGCTTGACAACAACCTTATGAGGTAGGTCCTGTTATCCCTATTTTACAGATTAGAAGCTGAAGTTGGAGAGTCTCAGTGAGTCATCTACGGTCAGAGGATTAGAAAGTGATGAAGCTGGGGTTTGACCCCAGAGTCAGCGTTCCTAAAGCAACATATTAAGGGGCTAGGCCGGCCAGGAAGAGTGTTGGAGCTAAGTCCCTGACTGCCTGCCTTCCAAGAATGGATAGACTGGATACGTTGGTAACTGGCTCACTGTCACTGGGTCAGAGTCTGTCAGTGGTGCCCAGGCAGGAGAAGAGAGGGCTGGGGTCTGACTCTCCAGCCCGGGGAATCTGAGGAAGAGAGGAAGGATGTGGGTGATTACAGGCCCTCCCGCTCCTCTAGGGCCTGGGATCCTCTACGGTCGAGTTCCTCTCAAGCCCAGGAATGGCAGAACGGGGGTCCTCCCCCCCCTTCCCACCTCCAGGGGCAGAAGGTCACCGCCACGCGAACCGCTAAGGTTTAGACAGGGTGGTGGCAGCAGTGACAGCCTGGGACAGCATGCTGGGGAGGGAAGCTGTAGAGGCTGTGATCAGAGGAGCCCTGAGCAGGGAAGAGGCCCGCTACTGCAGAGAATCCCGATGGAGTCTGCGGGGCAGAGAGGAACGTTCTGGCCTGCGGTTTTGCCGTCTGTTCCCGTTACTGTTGCTGCATAACTACCTGCACCAAACAGAGGAAAGGGGAGCAACAGTGTCTTTCACTCACGGATTCTCTAGGTCAGCAGTTTGGAAAGGGCATGATAGGGCCAGCTTGCCTTTGCTCCAAGCAGAAAGCTGGGGGCTGGGGTCGTCCACAGACTCACTGGCTCGTACGTCTGGCACCTGGGGGCATTGGGCTTCCTCCCTGATGACTCAGGGTTCCCAGAGCCAGCACCACGGCAAGCAAGGTGGAAGGCCACGTCGCCCTTTCTGCCCTGGCCTTGAAGTTTTCAGGGCATCGCCTCTGTGACTTGCCGGTGGTCACACTGAGTTGCTCGAGGCAGCCCAGATTCAACGGGATGGGGGAGAGAGAGAGACCACAACCTCTTTGTGGGAAGAGCATCAGCCAAGTGGCAGACGTGAGTTCGAGCTGCCACGTGACGCTTGTTACATCCCCAGGTTTGCTCCTTCCCGAGGCCAGCATTTCCTGGGCAGACAGGATGGGGGAGGGAGGGCTTATGCTAAGAGCAGAAATTTGTTACCCAAATGTTACTAATGGGCCCCCGGAGTCAAGAACTCTTTTGTGCAGGATGGCCTCTGAAGTGCTGAGCATAGTGCCTGGCACCTGGGGGCATTCAACAGGTATCTGATGGGCAGACGGGGCGGGGGGGGGGGGGGGGGGGGGGGGGGGGAACGGGAGAAGCGACAGCGTGGTGGAAAGCCTTACTGACCACATGCGTGCACGTGGTCCGTGACACTGTGTCGGGCGTTTCTTTTTCTTCAGTCAGCATGGAATTGCACTCCATCCTAAACCCAGTCTACATATGTCAGATGCCAGAGGACCTTCTAAATGACTCCAGCCCCTGACTCAGATTGAACAAGTGTCGCAGATGGTGGTGCTGTGCGGGGTCGGGGATTGCTGCTACAGCTTTTCCTGATTTCTTTCTCTTTGAGGGTGGTCGCATCTTGGGGGCAGTGCCCCTTAAGGGACACAAAGCCATGACCTCTGAAAGAGTGGGACGTTTTAGGAAGAGTTTTCAATGAGCTTCATTGGAGATGATAGGATGCCCACTTTAGTGGTGCTCCAGAGGGGCGCCTGGCCGGCTCAGTCGAGGAGCACGTGACTCTTGATCACGAGGTTGTGAGTTTGGGCTCCACGCTGGGTGTAGAGATGACTTAAAAATAAAATATTAAAACAGGAATAACGGTGCCCCGGAAGACCTTTGAGATTATATTAGAAGTGGCCACTGTGTTGGGAACTTGTGATTTCCATGAGAAATTCTTTTTGAAAAGTTGCCATTGGACTCTAGCTTGGATTTAAGGAGTTTAGAAACCGAGGGCTCAAGAATTGTGCACCTGGAAGCTAATTTAGAGTCTAACAGGGAGATCTTGAAACTCACCCTGAGAAAACCTGGGTGACGTGTCTTTATTTCACTGGAAGGGAAAGAAGGGCTCTGTTAGGATATGACTGCCCTACTCCAAAGCTTCCTCCCCAGGACCGCAGCTGGTCCAGATGAATTTTGTAAGAAAAACAAGCTGATTCCAGCTGGATAGCAAGGGTTTGGACAGATGTCATCTTGTCAGTTCCAGACCAGTCAGACACCTCCGGCCCTTTTGCTGTCTGTCTGTTTGTTTGTAATTGCTGCTGCCTCTGGATTTAAGCATCTGTAAAAGGAAAGGCATGAAATGGTTTGGTTGCTTTCCTGTAGCCGAACTCACCATCCATCTCCTAAGAGCCTCACATGGAGACACAGGGCTTGTAACTAAGTTACAAGCTTGCTGTCACTGTTCCATGGAGATGTTTGGGAAAGCAGCGGGTCCTAAGTGCTAAGGGTTCGAGCAGTGCATTCAGTCTGCACAGTGACAGCTAAGACAGTGCTCCCTGCCCTAGGTGGGGCGAGTTTCTGAAACCTCCCTAGTTGGGCCTGGGGGCGGTCATCGGTGTGCCCGATGGCTCCCTGGGGGACCCTTTGGGCCAGTTGTGAATGTGCAGTTGGAGGTGACTTCTGCTGGACTCCAAGTGGCACCCGGTGGCCAGCCCTAGCCAGGAGCTGGTGTCACAGCTTCCCTGTAACCTCCCTCCTCCCCAGCCTCTCACACAGTCCTGCAGAGGGTCCTCGGAATCAGTTCCACTGGCATCGTGAAAGTCTTTCAAGATTGTGTCAGACTTGGGGGGGGGGAAACAAAAGGCGAACTTCAAGCTTGGTTTCCCAGGGCACCTTCTTAAAAGGGACTCATGCCCTTGTACTTAAAGGGCTTTATATCTCTCAGTCCTCCTGGCCTGACCTTCTCGGTCCAGTGAGCCACTAACAGCAGGGCTGGGAGCACTCGGTGGTCATGAGCAACAATAAAACAGAGAAATAAATGGGCTTCTCGTTTTTGGGTAAAATCCTGGGTTCTTGCAGTTTCCCCTGAAATGGATCCAGGTCACACGCTCAGTGATGTCATGAAACTGAAAGCCCAGATGTTTGTTCCCCATCAGAAAAGAAAGGGCAGTTCTCTTTACCTCATCTTCTAAATGATCTCCCTAAAAACAAACAGGAAAGTGACATTTAATGGGAATCAATTTCTTAGGACAGCATGATTTTCCTCGCGGGGTCTAGAAGCCTAAGACTTATGGCTACAGAACTACAGAATAATAGCTCATGTGGGGGAAGGAAAGGAGCTTTTGGCTAGAACTTCTGGCTTTATGTGAGGGAAGCATAAGAATATTGTGGGCAGACTTGAGCTTCATGTCCCTGGCAAGTTTGACTCATTAGAACAAAACAAAACAAAAAACTCAGTTGCTTTGTTTCTCCAGAGGTCTTGGTGACTCTGCAACCAAAACAAAAACAAGCCCAGCTGGAGGCAAGCTGCCTGGGCTTGGGGGTGGCTTCCCACCCCATTCAAGGGGGACCTTTTCATGCCAGACAGAGACATCATTCACTTCCTTCCCCAAGTTTACAGAAGAGCACTCATCCGGGCGCCCGGGTAGCTCAGTCGTTAAGCTTCTGCCTTTGGCTCAGGTCATGATCCCAGGGTCCTGGGATCGAGCCCCGCATCGGGCTCCCTGCTCCACGGGGGGCCTGCTTCTCCCTCTCCCACTCCCCCTGCTTGTGTTCCCTCTCTCGCTGTGTGTCTCTCTCTGTCAAATAAATAAATAAAATCTTAAAAAAAAAAAAAAGAGCACTCATTGATGGGGCTGCTTTGGAGTAGCGAGGAGCACACATCCGAATTTATCCTGGCTTTATCATCTCAGCAGGACCGGGTCACAAGCAGGATATTAGTGGAATGTGGAGGAAAGGAAACCACTGGGCTTGTGGTGCGTGTGTGCATGTGTGCGTGCATAAGTACTCGTGCACACAGAAAATCAGCTGTTTATAGTTGCATTGACATATAACTTTCTGGGTCCTTCCCCAGTTTTTCTCCAGGCTGAAATCTGATACCCGGTCACTTAAATCTTTGACTTCAAACAGTTGCTGAAGGGCCTTTTATCAAGTTCCTCCTCTTTGCTCCCCCTACCCCCCATCACCATGCTTTTCTTTTTTGTTCTTCTGATCTCCCCCACCTTGGTCCCTGAATTCCCTTCTGGCTATTCTTTTTTTTTTTTTTTTTTTTCTTAGACGTGCAGAATTCACGGGGCACCTGGGTGGCTCAGTCGCTAAGCATCTGCCTTCGGCTCAGGTCTTGATCCCAGGGTCCTGGGATCCCTCCTCAGCGGGGAGCCTGCTTCTCCCTCTCCCACTCCCCGCTGCTTGTGTTCCCTGTCTCGCTGTGTCTCTCGCTGTCAAATAAATAAATAAAATCTTTTTAAAAAAGTAAATGAAATCTTCAAAAACTTTAAAAAATTAAAAATAAAAAAGTGCAAAATTCACATTAATTTATTCATGCATTTGACAAATGCTTACTGAGCACCTGTTATATTTTGGACAGTCTTTCAGGCTCAGGGGCTACATCTGCAAACAAGACACGTGAAACTCCATCCTTAAGGGTGTGGTGACAGTGTGATGAAGGGGACAGGTAAGGGCGAGAGTGCCAGAGGTGAGATCAGTAGATCTGTCTTGCTGCCCTGAGCGTCCCCACGGACCAGCAGCCTGAGCATCACCAGAGATCTTATAAACATGCAGACTGTCAGGCTCCACCTAGACCCACTGACTCTGAACCTGCATTTTAACGGGTTTCCCACGAGGGTCGTGTGCCCATTCACAATTTGAAAAACCCTGGAGTAGGCATTGTGGAGCTCTTGATTCCCTGTTTTTAAAACCTGTTATTACTCCCTTCTGAGGGTCATTGGCTCCACCATTCCAGGGACAGGAAGAAGAAAGGCCCAAATTGGGTCACATCACTTACTTGCTCTTTTGCTCTGCATTAGATTTCTAGGGCCACCATAACAAATTCCCACAGACTCAGTGGCTTAAGACACCGGTCTTCTATTCTGTAGGTTAAAAGTTTGGTGGGCTCCTCCGGTTTCTCTGTTTCAAGGCCAAAATCAAGGTGTCGGCCGGGTTGGGCTCTGGGGGAGAACCCATTGCCAGGCTCATTCTGGTTGCTGGTAGAATTCAATTTTGTGGTTGTGGGACTAAAGTCCTATTTCCTTGCTGACTGTTGGCCCAGGGTCAAGTTCCTGTCCTAGAAGCACCTGCATTTCCTGGTTCATGGCCCCCTCTGTCTTCAAAGTCAGCAACAGTGGGGCGACTCCCTGTCACACTTTGCATCTTTCCTGCTTCGTCTTCCACTGCAGCTCTCTGACTCTTTTGCCCTCCTTGTCTACTTTTAAGGGCCTGTGTGATTGCACTGGCCCCCCTGGAAAACCTTAAGTCCATCTACAAAGCCCCTTTGGCCATGTAACGGAACATACAGCCTCCTGGGATTAGGACGTAGACATCTTTGTGGGGAAGGGAGTATTCTGCTCCATCTCTGAAAAAAACCGTAAGTTGCTCTCATTACTGTAATGACCTTAACTTTGAAAATTTATATCTTAATAATAAGAATGGAATGAAATATAACTCTGCCCAGAAATCATTATTTATTAGTTGTAGAAAAAATATTCCAAAAATAGGACCTTTTGTCCCTCCTCAGTTCTGGAAATGTGCTCCTTGAGGGGCAAGTGCTAATCTCATTCCTCTTTGTGTTTCTGGCACCCAGCATGGTGCCTGGCACACAGTAGGTGCTTAATGAATGCAGAAAAAAAATATACACTCGTGGTTACATCCTTGAAATACGGGGATAAGGAAAGTCCGCGATACTTTCTTAAAGGGGCTTCCCTATTAATAATGTCAACAAAAAGCTTAAAAATCCCTTGTGTTACTCCTAAGAACATAGGGTTACCAAGAGCTGGGGGTTGGGGGAGTTGGGGAGATGTTTAAGGGTACAGGCCTGCAGCTAATAAAAAGTTCTGGAGATCTAATGCACACCATAGTGAATATAGTCAACAGTACTCTATTATAAACTACAAAGTTGCTGAGAGAGTAGGTCTTAATTGTTCTCACCAAAAAAAATAAATAAATAAACCAGAATTATGTGAAGGGAAACAGGTGGCAGCTCATGCTACCATGGTAATGGTACTGCAACAGAGAAATGTATCAAACCAACACATCCTATGCTGTAAACTGAAACTGACAGAATGTTATATGTCAGTTACATCTTGCGCAAGACAGTGGCACAGCCAGGAGTAGAGCTAGGATCTGGACCCACAGACTTTGTTGAGAAAGCCTGTGATACTCGTACCTATACCTCTTGGCAGGCTCTGTTGCCTTTGAAACATTTCTCAGAGAAGCCAACCTTGTACCCAGCCTTGAAAAATGAATAGGGATTGGCCAGGTAGGTGTTGTCGGTGGGAGAAGGTGACCATCTGAAAGGATGCTCCAAGTTCTAAAAGCAGCCTGAGCTAAAGACATGGGGCATAAACCCTCCTGTGGGAATGCAGGTTTGGGGGAGCAGGTCCCCACCTTTTCTGTGGGCAGCACTTGAATGGAAAAACAAGGGTCTGCACCTGCAGCCTGGGAAGGGGGCTGCCCATTATAGGATCAGCCTGCACCCACACTGACCCCTGCTCTGCCCTAGACTGCCTGAAGCAGGAAGGGGACCCCCAAATCGGCAAGCAGCTTTGGTTGTCTTCCAGGTCAGCCTAAAAAATTAGTCCCATTCCACAGATGCTCCCTGATTTCTCCAGAGCCACCATATGTGGATTTCTCCATGTTCTTCCTGTACCTAGTCATGCTTCTGGCACCATCTCTTAGAATAAGAAGTTGTTGAACACCCCTGTTATGAAGCCGCACTTTTTATTTGCTCAGAATTTACCCCTGGTAACCTTTCGGGGCTGTCTTTTAGTTAGGTTAGGACGACAGAGTCAGGGTTTGTGGTTTTTATTGCTGTTTTAGGGGAGGAGCAGATGCAACTGACTTGGGGGGGACTTGTCTTGTGCCTGATGGCTTACAGTATCCTTCCTGATGAGGTGTGTCACTGTGTTAGTTTCTTCTTTGGTAAGATTCTACAGGCACTTAGAGCCATGAGCTTAGAGCCTATCACTTTATAAAGAACCATTTAATTTTTCCATGAAGATATTTGCCCCTCAGAATTCTCATGTACCGGGGCGCCTGGTGGCTCAGTCGTTTAGTGTCTGCCTTCAGCTCAGGTCATGACCCCAGGGTCCTGGGATCGAGGCCCACATCCGGCTCCCTGCTCAGCAGGAAGCCTGCTTCTCCCTCTCCCACTCCCCCTGCTTGTGTTCCCTCTCTCGCTGTCTCTCTCTTTCTCTCAAAAAATAAATAAAAATCTTTAAAAAAAAATGCTCACCTACCACTTTTCCACTCAGTCGAGGGGCATTCGGAAACCTCCCTCAAGTTGGCATTACGTCACCAACTAATTACCCAAAGGAATGATCATGCTCTGCAGATGGAGACATTTCTGTGCCCTCTTTCTTCCACAAGATTTATAAAAATATGAAATGCAGTTAGTCTCTGGGAACTCTCTCTCTCTCTCTTTTTTTAATTTTCTCATCCCTAGAAGGGCTCATTTACCCAAGCCATTTCCACATGTGTCCCTAAATATCCTTCAGATACCCTAGGGACTCTGTAAAAATAACCTTTGTTATTGGAAACATTAGAAATTTAAATAGTGCTTGCTAATTTCCCTCCCTTTACTTGTCCCTGTGCTCCCCCTTCTCGGACATCTCTGACCGACCCGTACTATCTCAGTCACAGGTGGGGCTCACACCTGCTGCGATGTGGAACTCCTTGGAACTGTGGCTCATCTTGCATTTGGCTATTGTCAGTGGCACCTCGCCTGTAGAGTTGCCTCTCCCTGTACCATTCCAGGGGGTGATGGCAAAAATGCGCCTCCCAAGCAGTCTGTACTTTCGGAGCTTGTCATCCGACGACGCAGAACTCCAGCAACGCCCTCCGATGGCCACAGTCAGTCCGCTCTTTAATAGGAGTAATTGCGCTGCTTATACTGTTTGCACAGAGCAGATGACCCAAGCCTCAAATGAATGTTTGATTTTGCAAGTCATTTTGCCAATTAAATGACGGGGATGTTTGAGTTGGAAAGGAATGGAAGGAGTAACCACTTGAGGGCAGCGGAAATAACAGAAATGCGGGGCCCCTGGGTGGTGCAGCGGGTTGAGCGTCCGACTCTTGGTTTCGGCTTGGGTCCTGATCTCAGGGTCATGAGATTGAGCCCCACGTTGGGGCTCCACGCTCAGCATGAGGTCTACTTGAGATTCTCTCCCTCTCTCTCCCTCTGCCCCTCCCACTCATGTGCTCTCTCTTTCTCTCAAAGAAATAAATGAATCTTTAAAAATAATAGAAATGCCAGTTCCGACCCCATTTCCCTCGCTCACTGCCCCCATCTTCCTAAAGCTGCCAGGGCAACAAGTTACTGCACCACCTGGAAGGCAATGTAGGTACCTCAGTAAGGACCACCAAGAGCCCGAGGCTGAGCCATCAGGGAACGACCAAGTGTGACTTCCCCAGGCCAGCTTTGGGGAGGGCTGGAAAGTTGGTTTTATAGAAGCCTTCTTTAATATTCCCTATAGATCACTTTTGGTCCGTTAGGATCTACACTATGTTAGCGTAATCAATCTGCCTAAAAGGCACTTCAAGGAAAATTACAGTAAGAATGCCAAAAGAAATTTTGTACTGCATGGAGTTGATCTGTCCACAGACATAACCAAGCCTTTTTACTTTGGGGTTGATTTGTCTGCCTTTTGGATTTATTTGGTTTCTTTCAAGGTATTCCCCCCCCACCCCCAGTATATCTGAAACTTTGGTGATATAGGATGTTTGACTCTGAGCTCAAAATCTCTAAAAGTTATTGGTTAAAAAAGAAGCTTCCCCCTCCCCTCCCCCTCCCCACACACCCCATTTCAATCCCTTTTCTGCAACTACTAAACATCTGTCTTCTGGTTTGTTCCTAGGATGGTCCAGATTCTGCCAGAGGAAACCGGACGAAGCAGGAGAGTGCCTGGCTATTCAGGCTGTGGTACAGCTTTGACCACAAGTATCCTTTTCAGTGGCTTCCCTGTATTTGTGAAACATCGATGGTGAAATTCTCTTAGTGTCAGTGAACAACTCCTGATGAGTAAGGAAGATGTGTGCTTGGTACAGGTATACTCAGTCCTCTCTTGGGCCACATGCAATGTTCATTCATGACCTGAACCAAAATCAAGAGTTGGACGCTTAACTGACTGAGCCACCCAGACTCCCCCAGAAAAAGCATTTGACAAGATCCAACATCCTTTCCTGATAAAAAGAAAACCTGTCAACAAATTAGGTGTAAATGGAATGTATGTCAACATTATAAAGGCCATATATGACAGGCCCACAGCCAACATCATACTCAATGACAAAAAGCTGAAAGCTCTCCTCTGAGATCGGGAAGGATGCCCACTCTTGCCACTTCTTTTCAATACAGTATTGGAAATCCTAGCCAGAGCAGGTAGGCAAGAAAAAGAAATTTGATTCTCCAAATCAGAAGGGAAGAATTAAAATGGTCTCTGAAGATTAAATTTAAATTAAAATTGTCTCTGCAGATGACATGATCTTTTTTAAAAGGTTTATTTATTAGAGAGTGAGCACGGGGAGGGTGGAGGGGCAGAGGGAGAGGAGAGAGAGAATCTCAAGCAGACTCCCCGCTGAGCGTGGATCCTGATGTGGGGCTTGATCTCAGGACCCATGAGTTCATGACCTGAGCTGAAACCAAGAGTCAGATGCTTAACCAACTGAACCATCCAGGTGCCCCTGCAGATGACATGATCTTACATATAGAAACCCCTAAAGACTCTACCAAAAAACTCTTTTAAAACTAATAAATTCAGGAAAGTCAGAAGATAGAAAGTCAACAGACAAAAACCAGTTGCATTTCTATACACTAACAATGAACTATCCAAAAAAGATACTAAGAAAACAATCCCAGGGCGCCTGGGTGGCTCAGCTGGTTAAGTGTCTGCCTTCAGCTTGGGTCATGATCTCAGGGTCCTGGGATTGAGTCCTGTGTCAGGCTCCCTGCTCAGCGGGGAGTCTGCTTCTCCCTCTCCCTCTGCCTCCTCCCCCTTGCTCATGCTCGCTCTCTCTCTCAAATAAATACATAAAATCTTTTTTAAAAAAAGAAAAGAAAACAATCCCATTATGATACCGTTAAAAACAATAAAATACTTAGGAATAAATTTAACCAAGTAGGTTAAGATCTATACACTGAAAACTAAAAAACACTGATGACAGAAGTTGAAGAAGACACAAATAAATGGAAAGGTATTTGTGTTCATAGATTGGAAGAATTAATATTGTTAAAATTGCCTTATGAGCCAAAGCAATCTATAGATTCAGTGCATCTCTATCAAAATTCTAATGGTGTTTTTTAAAATAAAAATCGTAAAATTTGTATGGAACACAAATTACCCTGAATAGCTAAAGCATCGTGAGCAAAAAGAACAGAACTGGAGGCATCATACTCCCTGATTTCAAATTATATTACAAAGGCATAGTAATCAAAATAGTATAATATTAGCATTAAAACAGATACACAGACCAGTGGAACAGAATACAGAGCCCAAAAATATACCCTCACGTATTCGATCAACTAATCTTCAACCAAGGTGCTGAGAATACATAATAGGGAAAGGACAGTCTCTTTAATAAATGGTGTTGGGAAAACTGGATATCCACATGCAAAAGAATGAAACTGGAACCCGTCTTACACCACTCACAAAAATCAGCTCAAAATGGCTTAGAGACTTAAATGCAAGACCTGAAGCCATAAACTCCTGGAAGAAAACATAGGAGAAAACTCCTGACATTGGTCTTGGCGATGAGTTTTTGGATTTAACACCACACACATAGGCAACGAAAGCAAAATAAACAAATGGGCCTACATCAAACTAAAAAATTTCTGTACAGCAAAGGAAACCATCAACAACAAGAAAAGACAACCTGTGGGATGGGAGAAAATATTTGCAAATCATATATTTGCTAAGGGATTAATATCCAAATTATATAAGGAACTCCTCCAACTCAACAGCAGAAACCCAAAGACCCCAATTTAAAAAATGGGCAAAGGACCTGAATAGATGTTTTTCCAAAGAAGACATACACTTGGCTGGCAGATACATGGGAAGTTGTTCAGCATCACTAATCATCAGGGAAATGCAAATCAAAACCATGATGAGATCTCACCTCATATCTATTAGGATGGCTGTTACCAAATGTCAAAAGATAACAAGTGTTGGGAGGCTGTGGAGAAAGGGGAACCCCCTCCTACACTGTCGGTGGGATGTAAATTGGTGCAGCCACTGTGGAAAACAGAATGGAGGTTCTTCAAAAAATTAAAAATAGAACTACCATAGGATCCAGCAATCCCACCTCTGGGTATGTATCCAAAGGAGATAACATCACCGTCTCAAAGAGATATCTGCACTCCCATGTTCATAGCAGCATTATTCTCAGTAACGAAGATATGGAAATAACCCAAGTGTCCATCAGTGCATGAATGAATAAAGATATGTGCAAGTGTGTGTGTATATAGTGGAATATTATTCAGCCTTAAAAATGAAGGAAATTCAGCCATTTGAGACAGCGTGGTTGAACCTGGAGGACATTATGCTATGAAATAAGCCAGGCACAGAAAGAAAAACACTGCATGGTCTTCCTTATGGGTGGAATCTAGAAAAGTCAAACTCAGAGTAACAGAGCATAGAATGGTGGTTGCCAGGGGCTGGGGAGTGGAGGAAATGGAGAATGTTGGTCAAAGGGCACAAACTTTCAGTTATAAGATGAGTAAGTTCTGGAAACCTAATGTACAATATGATGACTATAGTTAATAATCTGTATTGTATACTAGAAATTTTCTAAGGGGGTAGATCTTAAGTTTTCACATCACACACACAGAAAAATGGTAACCGTGTGAAGTGATGGATATGTTAATTAGCTTGATTGTGGTAATCATTTCACAATATACACGTATCTAAACATCTCCCACACCTTTAATACGTGCAGTTTTTTATTTGTCAGTCATACTTCAATGAAGCTGAGTGGGGAAGAAATTATTCCTCGAAGAGCAACAGGAGTGATCTCTAAAGTCTCTGAATGTAAATTTTAGCGACAAGGATTTCTACTTGTTTAGTTTGGAGGAGAGAAACTAAGAACAGAAGCAGGCACAAAGTGTCTGAAGAATTAGATGAGGAAGGTGCCCATAGTTCATTCTCTAGCTCCATAGATGATCTCACAAGAAAATGTGGGCTTTGGCTGCATCAGAAGAGGGTTTGGCTGGATGGGAATGATCCCCACAAGGCAGGAAGAGCAAGTGTGGTACCTCCTTCGCTGGACAAGCCTGAAAATGGAAGAGATGGGCTTCCAATTTAAGATAAGAGGCTCAGCCGCACACATAGCTCTCTTGTTGTTCCCAGGCCTCCTTGGAATCACAAAAGAGATACTTTGGAGTATTCAAGACCAAATGTAGAGGTAATTGTAGCAGAGAAAACCATAGCCCAAGACCAAAGCCAGTTTGTCTAGGTGATTTATTAAAGAATGTTGTAACAGTTGCAACAGGCACTTCCTGTGTCCACAGATCAACTGGTAGCTGTTAATTTTCTCTTTAGGCCATAGCTCTCTAAAGAAAGTAGACATACTACCTGGGGAGGGCTTGATAGAGAAACAGATCTTGAGGCCACCAAAGAATATTCTCCCTAGAGTAACCTCCCCCCGCCACCCACCCAACTTTGGCGTGGTCAGATTCCCCACCTGCTTGATGAACTGAGAAACTGAATAAAGACGCAGGGGGCATGCCAAAGTCATTCATTCCTATATATGTACCTGCATGTCCTATATATGTACATGTACATATATACATATATATATATGTATATATTTTTAAGTAAACCCTACACCCAAGGCGGGGCTCTAACTCATGACCCCAAGATCAGGAGTTGTATGCTCTACCAACTGAGCCAGCCAGGTACCCTGCCGAATATTTATTTTTTAATTTTTCTAATAAAAGCCTTAGAGTTGCAAGGCTTTTCCAGTCACAGTGTAAGAACAGGCTATTAGAAAAAGGAGCAAGCAAATAAGAAACTTTGGAAATTAAACAAAGTTTCTGAAATGAATCCCCAAAATGGATAGTTTAATTACATGGTGGAAACCAAACTGTTGATCTGGGAGATGAAGCTGAGGAAAAAAGCTGTGAGAATTCAAGCACAAAGTCAGAGATGGGCAAGAGAAGAGTTACGAGATGAAGAGGTCCAGAGTCCTTGAACAGAATCTAAAAGGAGAAGACAGAGACTGTGGAGGAAAAGAAGAACCAAAGAAATAATGGAAGAAAAAAAAAAAATCCCTTGGCTAAGGGCAGATTCTTGTCTCCAGAGTGGGAGGGCCCACCTGGTGTGAGCAGCATGAATGGACTCGTTGGAGCATTCCGTAACTAAAGGGGAAAAGCAGGACTCTTCATGGCTTCCAAAGACAAAGACTGGCAGCCTTTAAAGAGAAAGAATCCAGTGTGGCATTAACAAAATTGAAGGTTAGAATACCATGTAGCATTGTCAGAGTTCTAGGATGAAAAGAAAAAGTCTGAGCCTAGAATATTCTACACCCAAGCTGAGTGGGCAAGAAAAGGAGGGTGGCTTTCAGACATGCGGGAGTTGAGAAAGTTTAGCACTGTGCAGACTCTCTAAGAAGGAGGGGGGAAACCCAACAACAGCATAAGGATCAGATAAAACCAAAATCAGATCCAACTAAGGGGACAACAATGAAGAAGTCATTTTTTATAACCCAGAAGTGAACAAGATCAAAACAGAATTAAAAGAAGATCTTGTAATTCGCAAGACACTCAGGTTTCTCTTCTCACTAACAAAGTTTAAATGACACTGTATTACATTTCTTTTAATAGTGTTCTAGCCACGGGGAACCTGGGTGGCTCAGTTGGTTAAGTGTCTGACTCTTTTTTTTTTTTTTTTTTTTTAAGTAGGCTCCACACCCAACACAGGGCCTGAACTCACAACCCTGAAATCAAGACCTGAGCGGAGATCAAGAGTTGAACGCTTAACCAACTGAGCCACCCAGGCACCCCCTAGTGTCTGACTCTTGATCTCAGCTCAGGTCTTGATCTCAGGGTCATGATTTCAAGCCCCTCACTGGGCTCCACGCTAGGCATGGAGTCTACTTAAAAAAAAAAAAAAATAATGTTCTAACCACTCTACTTGGTTACAGGGAATAATATGCATATAACAATATTATTACGAATGCTATTTAGTGGTTTTTAACATTTAGACTCAATTCATAGACAAAGTATAGAAAATTTACTTATCAGTTATAAAATAGAATGCAGATGTTATATATCTGCAGTATAAAATTAATTGTAATCAAAATTAGGAAAAACTTGAAGAGGCAGGAGTATAAATGAATTAAATGTACCATCCTTCGCAGGACGGAGTTAAAAGCCTCTGACTAAAGTTTATAAATCAAGAAAGAGAAAAAACTTATTCTTCTGGTGTAGACACACACACACACACACACACACACACACACACACACACACACAGAGTGGAACACTACTCAGCCATACAAAAGAATGAAATCTTGCTATTTGTGACAACATGGATGGATCTTGAAGCTATTATGCTAAGTGAAATAAATCAGAGAAAAACAAGTGCTACACTGATTTCACTGAAATGTGGAATCTAAAAAACAAAACAAAGAAAATCCAGATTCATAGATACAGAGAACAGATTGGTGGTCACCAGAGGGGAAGGAGGTTGGTGGAGTGAAATGGGTGAAGGGGACCAAGAAGTACAAACTTCTTGGGGCGCCTGGGGGGCTCAGTCGGTTAGGTGTCTGCCTTCAGCTCGGGTCATGATCCCAGGGTCCTGGGATCAAGCCTTGCATCAGGCTCCCTGCTTGTCAGAGTCTGCTTCTCCCTCTGCCCTCCCCGCTTATGCTCTCTCTCTCTAGCTCTCAAATAAATAAGTAAAATCTTAAAAGAAAAAAAAAAAAGTACAGGGGCGCCTGGGTGGCTCAGTTGTTAAGCATCTGCCTTCGGCTCAGGTCATGATCTCAGGGTCCTGGGGTCAAGCCCCACATCGGGCTCCTGCTCAGCAGGAAGCCTGCTTCTCCCTCTCCCTCTCCCCCTGCTTGTGTTCCCTCTCGCTGTGTCTCTCTCTGTCAAATAAATAAAATAAAATCTTAAAAAAAAAAAGGTAGTACAAACTTCCAGTTATAAAATAAGTAAGTCATGGGGATATAATGTACAGCATGGGGAATACAGTCAATAATATTGTATTAATTTTGTATGGTAACTACATTTATTGAAGTGATCATTTTGCAATAGATAAAAAAGCGAAATCACTACATTGTACACCTGAAACGAAAATAATATTGTATGTTAGTTATGCCTCAATTTAAAAAAAAAAAAAAAGGCCTTTGGTGAAGTTGTAATTACCAGAACAACTGGATGGGACAGAGACTTGATATTTCATTTTGGCCCTTCAAAGAACTTGCATATTTAAAAATCTATCTGTAAATGGCTTTTTTCTCTCTTTTAAAGAAGTTGTTAGAGGCCTTTTGTATTTGGGGACTGTGAGAACTTGGCTTTGAACTACCCGAAGCAGGCCACTGAAAGGTAGCCTCGGGGTTCCGATGTGCCTGTATGTTAGTCCTTCTGGAATCCAGCCTTGCTGTCAGCTCCGCAGCTAGACTCAAAGTAGCCAATAGGCCAGCAGGGGCCATTCCCAGAAATGTGGTTGGAGGACAGTGGTCAGAGGGGGCTTGTTCGGTTTCGTAAAGAGGTTCAGCAGAGCCTACACCTTGTTCATCGTGGAGTAATTCCCTACAAGGAGGATACTCCAGGGTCTTCCTTCCGTCTCCTCCCAGAGAAGAAGGCTTTTTTTCTCCTGTGCTGAGCAGTAAATATTGATGGTGCTCAGAGCAGTCATCCTCTGGGGTACAGATGACTAGGATACCTCCTTACCTTCCTTTAAGTTCTCTTGGCCGTTTCCGCCGTGGAGGTGGCCATGGGGATCTCCACCTTTTCCATATTGCTGGGGCTGTGGGTACCAGAAACGGTCCAGGCGCTGTCATATCATGACGCATGCTTCCTGGTGCTTCCCACACAGGCTCATGCACTTGACGGCACAGGTATCCACAGACTGACAAATCCTGAGCTCCCAGGGCAGCTGACCTTCACCTTAGGGTGGTGGTCTCAACCGAGGGCAGGTTTGCTTCTCAGGGGACATTTGACAATGTCTAGAGACTTTTTTTTTTTTAAGATTTTATTTCTTTATTAGAATGAGAGACAGAGCACGAGAGGGAAGAGGGTCAGAGGGAGAAGCAGACCCCCCGCTGAGCAGGGAGCCCGATGCGGGACTCGATCCCGGGACTCCAGGATCGTGACCCGAGCCGAAGGCAGTCGCTTAACCAACGGAGCCACCCAGGTGCCCCGTCTAGAGACATTTTTGTTGTCACGCCTGGGAGAGGGGTCGGGGGTGCTCCTGTCCCTACAGGGCAGAACAGTCCCCTACAACCAAGAATGACCTGACGCCCAATGTCGGTAGTGTCGAGATTGAGAAGCCGATATGCTGTCTCCTGTTTCCAAGACGTGAGCTGGTTGTGTGTCCAAAGCTGGAATGCTGATTGAAACCAAAATTCTCATGCAACATAACAAGGGAGAAGGATGCTCTAATTAATCAAATATTCTTTTTGCCTGCAAAGCGGGAACCGCCAACCTGAGAGTTAACAGTGAATGCTTAAGGCTGACAGGGTGGTTTAATCTTTGATTCAGATTATTGTAGACCCCAAGGATTTTCTGAATCGTACTGGTAAAATGTGGGGGAGGAGGCCTTTTGTGGGTAGCAGCCTGGATGATTTACTCTGGGGGATTTCTAAACACGTTGTGTTGGGTGTGTGTTTTCTTTGCAGACATTTTTTCCTTAAGTCGCTTTTTAAAGTTACCTGAAGCCCATCCTCACACACAGTGGCCCCCCGTTGACCACCACGCTCCCAGCCTGGTGTGGCCTGCTTGCTCGGTGTCTGACCAGTCCTCAGGTGTACGACGTAAGTACGGCGCGTCAGGGGCGTTTTCTTGCTCACTGGGTCCGGGGAGTGTCTTCCCCAGGAAGAGGAAACCTGTTGCTCGCAAGCCTCCAAATCCATGGGTTTTGCATCTCTAAGTAAGATGATTAGAAATGGCCGACTTCCATATGTTGACCTATTTTGCACAGTAACAGGGAAACCTTTTTACCCGGGCTGTGGGGCCCCGTCACGTCCGCAGCTGTGGTGTAGTAGAAAGAGCACTTGATTTGGAATCCGAACAACTAGATTCAAAGCCAAGCCCTGAGGCCATTTAGGTGTTCTGTGCCTTGGTTTTCCTGTCTGTAAAGTGGGCCTAGTTGTACAGGCTGGCTGTGAGATTAAAGGCTAAGGTACAGAAAGATACTGTGAACCGCAAAGCGTTTAGCAAATGTGAGGGTTCTTTTTGTGAATGCTTTATTTACATTGATATGGTTAGGCCCTTTCCGTTTTCAGATTCAGACTTAGCACAGTATGAAAAGAATATCCACACTGGTGGACATCTGAGCTTTGGGACTGACTTGCGAGCTCCTTATGTGGGTTGCTGGGCAAAAGGGTGGGGAGAGCAAGCAGCTACCCACACAGAAGGACTGGAGGAGAGGGGAAAGGCCCTTCTTCCTCTCTCTTCTGCCACCCTCCTCATCTGGTCACAAATACAACCATTATAGCCTAGGAGAGAAGAACTCCTTAAATTTGTGTAGAGCTTTACAGCTCACAAAGGCCAAGTTTATTCTCTTGGCCATACTGTAAATAATCAGCTACTACAGGGTTACGGAGGAAGAAAGTGCCAAGGTCCCAGGATTAGTAATTGGCAGAGCTGAGACCCTAATGCAGGTTTCAGAGAATTCGCAAACAACCTGCAATTGACTTGATTAGCGTTGAGAAAGCAGAATGCAAAGCCCAGATCTGGGAGAGAAGACCCCTGACCAGTTCTAACGGGGCGGGGCAGCAGGCTTGGGAACGACTGTTTGCATTCGGGTGGTACAGAGGGGCAGGGGGCATAGCTGGGCGGGGGGTGCTGGGGTCTGGCATGCTAAGGAGCAGCCTCATCAGAGATGGGGCGACTTGGTCAAGAAGCAAGAATCTGTTCCCTGTTGCTTTGGGCTGGGGTCCTGACCAGGGTCTCAGTCAGCTACAGACACAGTGAGGCTTGCACTTGAGAGAGTGGGGGCATAGAGTCTTTGAAAAATTAATTGAGGAAGCCCAAGGTGAGAGAGTGGAGGGGCCCCCGGTGGGGTTTGGAGCCCAGTGAGGGTCTCGGGCAGGGCCGCTCTCGCGTGGCTGTTCGACACTCTGTGGTTCTCACCCATCACCTAGAGGGCGTTTGTACTTTTTGGTTTAGTTGGGCCATGTTGAAGATGTTCCTTATTCACTCTTTGCACTAACTCTAAACCACTCAGGTTGGATATCCACCTAGAAAACAGGGTTCTTCCATTCATGAAAGTGACCTCTGGTTGTTTAAAATGGGCACATTCCTGCAACACACGTTTGCAGGGTTATTCAACAGCATCTTCATGGCAGCCTTCAGGGGACAGCTGGCTGCATAATTTTACAAACCTCCAGCTTAAAACTTTCATCAGTCCTATCATCTAGAATTCGAGGAAGTGGATCGGTTTCATCATCTGTGTATCACGTTCATTAAGCTCTGATTTGGAAATCCCTGTCCACTGGGTTTTACCATGTCCTTGTTTCGGGTACTATTTGTCCGGGCTTGTGAGTTTCATAATGGAATGGGTCAACATCCAATTTTGCTTTCTCCTGTTGGTGAATTTGAGCCCTGCTTCCCACTGCCTCGGGTCAGGGTCAGCCAGCGTGGACCACACGGGCTGGTGTGCGGGGGCGGGGGTGGGGGGGATGGTGAGGAATGGGGGGGGCCTCAGCTGGGCTGCAGTAGGGGGCGTGGCTACATTTGCAGCATTTCCCCTCCAAGCAGTGGCTTCACATTCCTCTCTGTCCTCGAAAGAGTAAAATGCATGCCAGGAGAGTCTCCCCCTGAAAAGGGGGAACTAAGAGCCCTGGCTGCGGTATTTTGACATTATTACATTAGCGCTCGCAGGCACCGGAGAAATGGAACGTGCTAAAACAGGGAACACGATCCCATTTGTTGTTAGGAAAACGATCGTGGGACAGATGGAGCCTCGGGACTTTCTAAATACTGATGGCGAGGAGGAATTTGGGGAGTTTGGAGTGAGTTTTGGAATTACGCTCTGCCTGAGTAGAGGATTCTTACTCGGTTGCACCTTTGCACGCTGCCTCATTCCAGTGAGGATTTGAGGCCACAAGCAACAAGAGTTGCGTGCTCACCTGTCAAAAAAAAGCCGGAGCACTGGGTTAAGAGGAGTCAGGCTGTGGAGCGTGGAGAGGTCGACATCAACTGAGGAGCGATGCAGAAAGCAGGCTTGAGCTTGTCACCAGTGAGTGCACACAGACAGGCTGTGACGGGAGGAGGAGGTCGGCAGGAGGAGGTCGGCAGACCCACGCGTCCTCCCTGGGTGCTGAACAGGCGTTCCTCTGGCACCTGCTGTGGCTTAAGCCCCTCAGGGAAGGGCGCCAGGAAGAGGAGGCGGCCACTGTGCTTTGCTGGTTTCTCACCCAGAGGGGGGTGCAGGTGCAGGCATGCTGGGGAGAATCTGCCCGTGGCCTTGGACAGCGTGACTGGGGGGGGGGGTGGGGGGGGGAGGGTAGGAGGCTGTCGGGGAGGCGGGTTCCGTGCCCTGCACTGAGGACATCCTGCCGCGTAGACGATGCAGGACTCCAGAAGCACCTGGAAGAGCAGATGGGCAATAGGAGAGCAAGAGCACTTTGGCTAGAGCGTTCTGGAGCCGTGTCTGACAGACGTGCTGTGGGGGCAGGAGGGGAGCCAAGCGCCCCTCGTTTTGCTGGCGAAACCCATTAGAGGGTGAAGGGTTGTGTCTGACCCCGCGCTGCTTCCCGAGCCCTCCCCTGGGTCTGGAAGTTTCGAGAGGCCGCCGCTCGGCTCCCGCCCTGCCTGGCCCTGCTTGGTCCACTCTGCTGCAGCTGCGGCTTAGCATGAGCTGCCGGCCGGTCCTCTTCCTGACCTGGGGAGTGTTCACATCCTCGCTGTGGGCCGAACCGGTCCGGAGGCAGCAGAAACCCCACCTCCGCTTCCTACCAGCTGGACAGCCTGGGGCATAGTCCACAGGTTCTCTGGGCTCAGGTCTCCTCCTCGGACCCAGGAGAAGGGAGGGGGGGAGGGTGATTCGCCAGCTCCTGTGACCAGGGCACCCTGGCGGGCCCGAAACAGGCGGTCGAGAAGGTGCCCCTTCCCTCTCAATGTCTCACTGCATCTACCAGAGGGCTTCCCGTCGGGGGTCCTTCCGTGGGGACAGGAAGGAAATCCTAATTATGCGTCCCCGTCCCTCCGTTGCTGACTAGGACAAAGAGTAGTTCAGATGCAAACCGGGTGGGTTTAGGGTGGTTCGTGTGGGGCGGGAGGCCCTCTCGGAAGACCTGCCCCAAAAAGAGAGGGGCCTGAGAAACTTCTTTGCATGTTTGCCCAGTGACCTTCCCCCTCCTTCCTTTGAGGGTTGGGAAGCTGAAGGCCCAGGCTGGCCTCCTTTTCTTCCCTTTTGTCACTGACCCCCGAGCCGTCAGGCATTTAAAATCAGAACTGCTTCCTGGGCCTCGAAGCCCTGCTTCGGGCAACGGTGCCTAACCTTGAATAGCCCTGGACAGTTGGCATCCAGTATCCGCGCTGGAGGCTCAGGGCAGGTGGGTTTCACGGGCCCCAGTTTTCAGGTGAGCAGTCGAGGTCGGGCTTGGCGCCCAGCCTAGGGGAGATCGGTCTCCCATTGGCTGCTGTCGCTCGTTGCACTTTTCAGAACCAAGAGCCGCTGAGAGAGGAAGACTCGGATTTCATCCTGACTGAGGGCGACCTCACCCTGACCTACGGGGACAGCACAGTGACTGCGAACGGCTCCTCAGGCTCCCACACGGCCTCCACGAGCCTCGAGGGCAGCCGGAGAACCAAGAGCAGCTCGGAGGAGGTGCTGGACCGAGCCCTGGGAACAGGAGACCAGCCGGTGTCAAGCCGGGGCACGCGCCTAGTGTTCCCCCTGGAGGATAACGCATGACTCGCCGCGTCCCCCCCCGCCCCGCCCCAGCCTGCCGAGATGGGGGTGCAGTGAGGACGGCTGCAAGCCCCAGGCTTGTCCGACTCGGGGCACTGACTGAGTGGAACTAATGCTTCTGTTTTATTGAGGTCTGAAGCTCTCTTAACATTTAAAGTTTAACCCAAGAGGCAGAGGGTGGGGCTGAAGTGTCTCTCAATCAAGACAAACGCAGACCTATTCCCAATTTTTCACATAGTAGTGTGCTGTTCAGAGTCAAACAAACAAATAGCATGCTTTCACGGTCTAACTCATTCACCTGCAGAATCCGAGCAAGCTGTGGCAGGTATGGGGAGGCCCCCCCAGGAGAGGTTTCAGATCTGTACACAGCAGCGCAACCCTAGCTGGCCGCAGGAATAGCGAGGTGGGGGAGGGGCGAGCAGGCCAGACCAACGGTCCCGAAGGAAGGCAGCTGAGATCGGACCTCCGAAGATGATGGGAAGCCAGTGGGCAAGGGGGACAGAACTGAGGAGGAAGCAATCTGAGCGCGGAGGCCCTAGCACCGAGGGCTGCAGGACCATGATCTCACGTGATCAGGCTTCTGGACATTCTGCACTACCTGGGTTTCCTGTAGATTGAAGATCAGAACTCTATCCGTGAACATTTCAACATGGGGAAAGAATTAGAATTCCTTCTCTGGAAATCTCCAGAAAGAAGTAGCTACTGAAATGTTTAAAACCAAAGGCAAAATGGTGTTGTACTGTTGGGTTTTTAAAATTAATCCGAGGGCAGGAGAAACTGTTTAGAGACTGATGACAAAAATCAGTCAGTTCTTCAGGGCTACCACGGAGATATCTACTGCGGGGTTTAGGAATAACACCAAAATTTGTGGGATGCTTCTATGTGGGGACGAGAGAGCAGCAAGGAGCCTAGGAGGCAATAGGCTAGTCTTCAGGGGGGGGGGGGTGGAACCACACTGCAAAAAAATTAACCACAAAACACAGGATACTGTTCTAAAGACCGAGTAGAAGTCCAAACTTTGAGCTACTAAATGCATGAGATTTCCGTGGCCGGGTGAGGCATGAGAGGCAAGTCAGTGGAAAATTGAGCATTATTCAGTCCAGTAGACGGTTCCGTCTGCTGTAAGAGTAAGAATCCAGATGTCTTAACACTCACTGAGTGCCATGTAGAGAAGGGTCATTTTCTTGGTATCTGGGGAGCCTCGTACCAGCCTAAAGTGTGAGCGTGGTTTGAAATGTAGGTTCTGAGTTGGGGCTCTCTGTGGGTGAGCTCTTCCACCTACCCACACCTGTGGTAGCTAAAATACCGAGAGAGCTCTTGGAAACCAAGTTTGAGATTCTCCCTGTGTCTCTATGCTTCGGTGCTGGTGTATTTGAAAACCCAATCCCTAAAAAAAAAAAAAAAAAAAAAAAAGCTCTCATAAAATGTGGGCATTTTTCTTCTTGTGGCAGACAGAATAGTGGCCCAGTCGAGTACACCCATAATGAAACCAGCTATTTAATCTGCTTAACTCATATTTTTAATGGTTAATATTTAGATAAGACATTATACTTTGCTTTTTGAATTGATAATTTGTGCAAAACAGACAAAAATTGAGCCATATGAAATTGCTGATATTGAACCAGTTTTCAAAAACAGAAATGGCAGTTTCGTATGGTTCGAGATGATTTTTATTCCCCTCTTTCTTTTCTGTGTACCCTAAAGTCCATTTTGATTTTATCATGGGCATCCGTGGGCTCTGTAAGCTTGAAAAACGAGCTAAACCACCCGTCTAACCCCATGAGGCTCCGAATTCCCTAGGCTAGTGAAGGACTTACGAAAACCTCTGAGCCAGAGCCAGAGAAACAGCTTTTTTTAGAGAGCCCCTGGACGGGAGGTCATTATGTCGTGGGGTCAGAGTGCAGAGGGTGGCTCCCAGGCTTGGCACATGTGCCCAGAACCAGCACAGGTTTTATTCAGTGGAGTTATCTCAGTAACAACCCGTCATGCCTATAAACTCGAAAGGTGAGGAGGCTTTTGTGTGTGTCTGTTATTTGCAGAGGTGGAGGGATAGGCTGGTCAGCTCCTTGGTTGGGTCTTTATAAAGCCTTGCTCACCTCTTAGGTTGCTTACTTATTTCATTTTGGAGGGAAGAAGCTAACAGAAAAACCCTGATAGGGTTCTTGAAAAGAGCCAACCGGGTAGGACCCACCCTCTCTTCATTCAAGTCAAGGCTTTGTTGTCATTTTGGTTTTCCAGGGAGCTTTCAGCAAATTAATAAGAAATTACCCTCATGAGGAGGAAAAATAACCAGAGTTCTCCAGCCCAGTCCTAAGTCAACCCATAGATCGTTGTGTTTCCTCCCAAAAGGGTCTTGCAGTCTTGACCGCAAACGTTTTATTTGGACCTACTTAAATCTAAGTAAATGGAGATTTGCCAAGATCAAAATTTTGCTAGCATTGTAGTTATTTGGTTGGATTTTTTTATTCAGTGGATCGGAGTAAGTCACTGACCTGTGGTCCTAATTTTTGTTTGCAAGATACGGAGAATAATCCTGACCTTACCAGGGGTCCCAGGAAAGGAGTCTGTTCATCGAAATGCTTCCGCCTTCTAGAAGCTTTATGCCTATGCTGAGAGGGGAAAAGTAGGTGTCACGAAACCCCCAAACCATCTAACTCAAGGCTATCTGCTGCCAGTCTGGCATAAATCAGATTGAAACTGCTGAGTGCATCCAATTTAACCTCTTATACATACCTGTTCTGGGTTGGGTGGGGGGGGGTGACAGTTCAGAGCTGGATGTTCTAGAGCACAGGTTCTCAACCCGGGCTGCACATTAGGATTCTCTGGCTAGTTTTTTTGTTTGTTTGTTTTTAAATATCCATGCAAGGGCCCTGTGCTCAGAGATTCCTATCCAGTAGGTTTGGAGCGGGGCCTGGCTTCCGTGCTCTGTTGTGGATCTTCAGGGATTCTAGTGGGCAGCCAGGCTTGAGAGCCTTTTTGTCCAGAGCTTGCAGCAGACCCAGTTTGGAACCTTAAAGAATGGTCTAGCAAACTAAGTTTCCTTTCATTGCCAGTCCTCTGGAACAAACCCAGTGTTGATCAATCAGTACAGCCCGGACAGCTGTGAGTTTCATGCACCTCATCTTTGCAGAACTCTAGAACATACTCCGTAAAGCACAACCGAAAACGTCACATTTGAACACCTTCGTGCAGGAAAGGGAGAGACAGGTGACTTGAGTGGATGGACTGGGTTGGTGCGGGGCGAGGGGTTAAAAATCTGTCCCCTTTGCCCCCTTTCGTGGAAAGAAAAGGGTTGGGTCTTAACAGAGTAGCTGACTATCACGTGCGAAGGCTTTGGAGAAGCTGTCTTTTCAGTATAACCTGGGATTAAACGGAGTCCCCTTTGCAGTCCAGTCAGCTTGCTTTCTTGCCACAGTTAGCTTGTCCCCAGGCCCGAGTCCCTGCTGGACTCCTCAGGAGAGGGGTGGGCCCATTTAATGCCCAGAGTAGAGGCCGCGGGGTAAGGGGAAGCCCATGACCACTTCAAGGTCACGAGGCAGTGGTGTCGGCCGACTTCTGCGTCGGGCCGACAGCGGGGCGGGGCGGGGCGGATTCCAGCCGTGCCTTTTCATACTCTCTTTGGGGACTACACGGAGACCTGAACTTTGTCTCCTGGAGAAGGAAATCTGCACTACTGAAATGAGCCTGCAAATAGAGGAAGAGGGCATATGCGATTCCATGGCCTCTGCCCATCCAGGGTGCTCCCTGGGGCGGCCAAACCGGCCCCGATGCCTTGCAGCCCAAAAGCCACACTGCGACATCAAATGTCTCATCAGGGAAACAGCAAGGAGCTTTCGGGCTGTGCTCTCTAGACCTGAAACTGTCCTCTGTGGTCTGGTGGACAAATGAAGTCTCTTTAGAAAACATGAAAAAGGTTCTCTCAGCTGTCCACGAACATGTCAGTCGAGGGCGATTTCCTTCCAAACTAGAGGGCTGTTTCATGACACATTCCCTACCCCCTGCCCCCGGGTGTCTCTCTCCTCTTTGCCCGCAGGGGAAGTCAATGTCACCATGTCAGATACCTTAATATGAACAGAACCATTTCCAAACGTGGAAACAGCACTGATGCACTGAGGGGAGGCTGGCAGGGGCGAGGCCACCGAGCCGCTCAACAGAGGGGAGAGGCTCATCCTCTCGGGCCCCTAGCTTGGTACCCGTTGTGAGTTCTCAGAGGTGCAGCACCGAGCTGCTTTTCCCATCTGTTGTAAGATGTCCTTCTGGAAAGTCAGCTTGCTGATTCAGTAAGTATGTGACTTCTTACTCCGCTTCAGAAATGGGGAACTTGACAAATTTCATGCCTGCCTCTCGATGCTGATTCTCTAGATGAATTCGTGTAGGAGTGCATCTGTCACGTGCATCAAAGCGGTACCACTGAGTGCTGGTGTCTTCTGTTGGTCTTTCCTCAAGTGTCAGATGCTGTACTCCGCTACAGTGAAGTTGAAGGAAATCTAGTGGCCAAGAGTTAGGAACAACCCATCTGAATGCTACTTTCACTCTGGTACCTTGAAGAAACCTTCTAAAAAGAAAAAACCTTTCTAAAACCCAATAAGGACAGTATACAGAGGAACACTCCAGAAAGCAATGCTAGTCTCTAACTAGGAAAAGCAAATAGGCTCTTTGACAATCTTTTCAAAACCAGACCTAGAAATCAACCCCCTTTTACCCAGTTTCAATTTTCATAAGTAGGACTTTGTGTTTTTGTTTTTGAAGGAACAAACATGTCTTGTCACCCAGTGTGAGCAGAACTCGTAAAGAGCAAAACCAAAGTTTTTGATGTTAGTTTTATTTTTGTACGGCGGGGTAGAACCAGGGCCCGCACGGAACACGCAGGCAGCCAGTCCTCTGCCACACGAGCCTGGGAGAAGATAAGGAAGGTCTGCCTGTCCGGCCGTGTTCTGAAAAGCCCTGAAATGCACAGGAGAGCCCCGGAGAGAGGCCTCTTTCTCTTCAGGATGGCCGCATTTTAAAAAAGGGTTAAGGGAATTGCCACATGTCAGGGTCAGCAGAAACTTCCAGGGGCTGGTGGATGTGGGAGGAACTCAGACCACAGGGGCTTGTGGACAGCATGAAGAACTCTACATGTGCTGTGCAAAGCACTGAAAGGCCCCAGCGCTCTTGGGTGACTGTCCCACCACTTGGACATTTAGGGGTGGGCTTTGGGGAAGCAGAGGAATGATTTCCGGGTGTGTGTGTGTGGGGGGGGGTCATGTCTGGGGATTTGGGACTTATCGCTGAAATCACTGGTTCAAAGTGCGACTTCAGAGCAGGACCACCTCCTCATAGGTTGACTTTTGACTTTTTACATAAACTACATCTGGTCCTTCTTAGGAAGTTTCACTCTGTCCCATAACATGATTAAATGGGAAGAGGCCACCAAGATCCATTTAATAGATGAAAAGCAATTTTTAAAAATAGCATAGGATGAATTTAACCTGGGATGATATGCCCTTCTGGGGAACGTTTTACAGAGAGCTCACATAATGTACTTGGGGAGAATTTTGTCTTCTATGTCCATTCATCAGTAGCAAACCGGTGGTTTTATAAAGTTAACGTTATAGTATGTTATATAAATAAACACGTTATATGAAATAAAAGTATGTTGAACTGTGAAAAAGTGAAGACTTGGAGTTATCAGCAACCTTTATGTGCACTTAAGGAAAACTGCAGTTAGGCCCCCAAAGTGCTACCTTTCCCTAGCATTTTACTTCACGTTTGCCTTTGTGTATATGTTTAGATTGATATTGTAAAGCTAGCTACATGTTTTCCTGCCGTTGACTGATATTTAACACATTTTTTCTCAAAGCTTTTTTTTTTTTTTTTTTTTTTTTACAAAACTCAAAATAAAAAGATTAACTGGCTGAGCTCTAATCGTCTTTTGCATTTATAAAATATCGTCTGTTAGTAGGAAGAAGAATGCAGTGTGATCCTTTTCTTAAGTCTGTTTCTTTCCCTCACTGGGAGGGTTTTTTTCTGGGTGGAAATTATTGCTCTCCAGCTCCCCTAGACCCAGGATCCACAAATTAAGGCTAGCTAGCCCCTCCGGACCAAATCCGGCCCAGCACTTATTTTTGTAAATGAAGTTTTATTGGAATGCACTAGGCTCCTTCATTTGCACAATGTCTTCGACAGCTTTCATGCAGAGCTCAGTAGTTGTGACAGGAGTGAGCAGCAATGTGCGCATAAAGCCTGGACCATCTGACTTCCTACAGCAAAGGATTTTGCCAAACCCTGCTTTAGGTGCTTGAAAAACTTGAGTTTCAAAATAGGGGCTAAAAATCACAGCACCAAACGTCTGCGATTATTTAAACGTGCCTTGGGATTAAGAGAAACACTTTAAATCTGGTCTGTGTTGTAACTTCTGGCCTACAACTGTG